GATATTATAAATGATTAAGAATGTTAATATAGATATAAAATCGATATGTTTTTTGAAAATAGCCTATTATGATCGAAACCAAAAATGCTTTAAATTGCATTTTAAAACATATCTAGGTATTATAAATGATAAAGAATGCTAATATAGATATAAAATCGATATTTTTTTGAAAAAAACCTGCTATGATCGAAACCAAAAATGCTTTAAATTGCATTTTAAAACATATATAGATATTATAAATGATTAAGAATGTTAATATAGATATAAAATCGATATGTTTTTTGAAAATAGCCTATTATGATCGAAACCAAAAATGCTTAAATTGCATTTTAAAACACATCTAGGGATTATAAATGATAAAGAATGCTAATATAGATATAAAATCGATATGTTTTTTGAAAATAGCCTATTATGATCGAAGCCAAAAATGCTTTAAATTGAATTTTAAAACATAACAAGATATTATAAATGATAAAGAATGCTAATATAGATATAAAATCGATATTTTTTTGAAAATAGCCTACTATGATCGAAACCAAAAATGCTTTAAATTGCATTTTAAAACACATCTAGGGATTATAAATGATAAAGAATGCTAATATAGATATAAAATCGATATTTTTTTGAAAATAGCCTGCTATGATCCAAACCAAAAATGCTTTAAATTGCATTTTAAAACATATCTAGATATTATAAATGATTAAGAATGTTAGTATAGATATAAAATCGATATGTTTTTTGAAAATAGCCTACTATGATCGAAACCAAAAATGCTTTAAATTGCATTTTAAAACACATCTAGGGATTATAAATGATAAAGAATGCTAATATAGATATAAAATCGATATTTTTTTGAAAATAGCCTACTATGATCGAAACCAAAAATGCTTTAAATTGCATTTTAAAACACATCTAGGGATTATAAATGATAAAGAATGCTAATATAGATATAAAATCGATATGTTTTTTGAAAATAGCCTGCTATGATCGAAACCAAAAATGCTTTAAATTGCATTTTAAAACATATCTAGATATTATAAATGATAAAGAATGCTAATATAGATATAAAATCGATATTTTTTTGAAAATAGCCTACCATGATCGAAACCAAAAATGCTTTAAATTGCATTTTAAAACACATCTAGGTATTATAAATGATAAAGAATGCTAATATAGATATAAAATCGATATTTTTTTGAAAATAGCCTGCTATGATCGAAACCAAAAATGCTTTAAATTGCATTTTAAAACACAAAACATATCTAGATATTATAAATGATTAAGAATGTTAATATAGATATAAAATCGATATGTTTTTTGAAAATAGCCTATTATGATCGAAACCAAAAATGCTTAAATTGCATTTTAAAACACATCTAGGGATTATAAATGATAAAGAATGCTAATATAGATATAAAATCGATATTTTTTTTTGAAAATAGCCTACTATGATCGAAGCCAAAAATGCTTTAAATTGGATTTTAAAACATAACAAGATATTATAAATGATAAAGAATGCTAATATAGATATAAAATCGATATTTTTTTTAAAATAGCCTACTATGATCGAAACCAAAAATGCTTTAAATTGCATTTTAAAACACATCTAGGTATTATAAATGATAAAGAATGCTAATATACATATAAAATCAAATTTTTTTTTTAAAAAAAACCTACTATGATCGAAACCAAAAATGCTTTAAATTGCATTTTAAAACACATCTAGGTATTATAAATGATAAAGAATGCTAATATAGATATAAAATCGATATGTTTTTTGAAAATAGCCTATTATGATCGAAACCAAAAATGCTTAAATTGCATTTTAAAACACATCTAGGGATTATAAATGATAAAGAATGCTAATATAGATATAAAATCGATATGTTTTTTGAAAATAGCCTATTATGATCGAAGCCAAAAATGCTTTAAATTGAATTTTAAAACATAACAAGATATTATAAATGATAAAGAATGCTAATATAGATATAAAATCGATATTTTTTTTAAAATAGCCTACTATGATCGAAACCAAAAATGCTTTAAATTGCATTTTAAAACACATCTAGGGATTACAAATGATTAAGAATGCTAATATAGATATAAAATCGATATTTTTTTTAAAATAGCCTACTATGATCGAAACCAAAAATGCTTTAAATTGCATTTTAAAACACATCTAGGGATTATAAATGATAAAGAATGCTAATATAGATATAAAATCGATATTTTTTTGAAAATAGCCTGCTATGATCCAAACCAAAAATGCTTTAAATTGCATTTTAAAACATATCTAGATATTATAAATGATTAAGAATGTTAGTATAGATATAAAATCGATATGTTTTTTGAAAATAGCCTACTATGATCGAAACCAAAAATGCTTTAAATTGCATTTTAAAACACATCTAGGGATTATAAATGATAAAGAATGCTAATATAGATATAAAATCGATATGTTTTTTGAAAATAGCCTGCTATGATCGAAACCAAAAATGCTTTAAATTGGATTTTAATACATAACAAGATATTATAAATGATAAAGAATGCTAATATAGATATAAAATCGATATTTTTTTTAAAATAGCCTACTATGATCGAAACCAAAAATGCTTTAAATTGCATTTTAAAACACATCTAGGGATTATAAATGATAAAGAATGCTAATATAGATATAAAATCGATATTTTTTTGAAAATAGCCTGCTATGATCCAAACCAAAAATGCTTTAAATTGCATTTTAAAACATATCTAGATATTATAAATGATTAAGAATGTTAGTATAGATATAAAATCGATATGTTTTTTGAAAATAGCCTACTATGATCGAAACCAAAAATGCTTTAAATTGCATTTTAAAACACATCTAGGGATTATAAATGATAAAGAATGCTAATATAGATATAAAATCGATATGTTTTTTGAAAATAGCCTGCTATGATCGAAACCAAAAATGCTTTAAATTGGATTTTAATACATAACAAGATATTATAAATGATAAAGAATGCTAATATAGATATAAAATCGATATTTTTTTTAAAATAGCCTACTATGATCGAAACCAAAAATGCTTTAAATTGCATTTTAAAACACAAAACATATCTAGATATTACAAATGATTAAGAATGCTAATATAGATATAAAATCGATATTTTTTTTAAAATAGCCTACTATGATCGAAACCAAAAATGCTTTAAATTGCATTTTAAAACACATCTAGGTATTATAAATGATAAAGAATGCTAATATACATATAAAATCAAATTTTTTTTTAAAAAAACCTACTATGATCGAAACCAAAAATGCTTTAAATTGCATTTTAAAACACATCTAGGTATTATAAATGATAAAGAATGCTAATATAGATATAAAATCGATATTTTTTTGAAAATAGCCTGCTATGATCAAAACCTAGGGTGACCATCTGCGTAGTTTTACAACGGACAGTCCTGTATTTCAAAACCCTGTCCTGTATAAATTTGAAAATTTTGTTCCAGGTCCTGTATTTTTTTCACGAAAATTTCCGTTAATTTTCAAATTTTCCTCTGTGTCCTGTATTTTTTAGGAAATTTGTCAAATGTCCTGTATTTTCATAAAAATTAGATGGTCACCCTATCAAAACCAAAAATGCTTTAAATTGCATTTTAAAACATATCAAGATATTATAAATGATAAAGAATGCTAATATAGATATAAAATCGATATTTTTTTGAAAATAGCCTGCTATGATCGAAACCAAAAATGCTTTAAATTGCATTTTAAAACATATCAAGATATTATAAATGATAAAGAATGCTAATATACATATAAAATCAAATTTTTTTTTGAAAATAGCCTACTATGATCGAAACCAAAAATGCTTTAAATTGCATTTAAAAACATATCTAGGTATTATAAATGATAAAGAATGCTAATATAGATATAAAATCGATATTTTTTTGAAAATAGCCTACCATGATCGAAACCAAAAATGCTTTAAATTGCATTTTAAAACACATCTAGGTATTATAAATGATAAAGAATGCTAATATAGATATAAAATCGATATTTTTTTTGAAAATAGCCTACTATGATCGAAAACAAAAATGCTTTAAATTGCATTTTAAAACATATCTAGGTATTATAAAAATGATAAAGAATGCTAATATAGATATAAAATCGATAGTTTTTTGAAAATAGCCTACTATGATCAAAACCAAAAATGCTTTAAATCGCATTTTAAAACATATCTAGATATTATAAATGATAAAGAATGATAATATAGATATAAAATCGATATTTTTTGAAAATAGCCTTCTATGATCAAAACCAAAAATGCTTTAAATTGCATTTTAAAACATATCTAGGTATTATAAATGATAAAGAATGCTAATATAGATATAAAATCGATAGTTTTTTGAAAATAGCCTACTATGATCAAAACCAAAAATGCTTTAAATCGCATTTTAAAACATATCTAGATATTATAAATGATAAAGAATGCTAATATAGATATAAAATCGATATTTTTTTGAAAATAGCCTACTATGATCGAAACCAAAAATGCTTCAAATTGTATTTTAAAACATATCTAGGTATTATACAATATAGATAAAAAAAATCGATTTTTCTCGATTTTCAAGAGGCTTTAGCAAGTCATGGTAAAGTCAAAATATAGTCATATGGGGTATTTTTTGTAAAGCTCTTGCTGAGGACTTTAAGATAGAATTCAATATGATATCTGGTGTGATTAAATGGCAAAACAATTATTTTCCGAGACCCTCACCAAATTTGTAGACCCAAAAAAGACGTTTTTTGGCGTTTTGAAGGCATAGATGATGTCCAAATGAAGATTTGAGATTTTTAAAAATGAGTCCTTCTGGCTGTATTAAAATAAGTGTGTTTTTCGTGAAACTAATAACTTACACGCTTTTTCGTGGAAGTTAAATTATAACAAAATCTTACTACTAAAATTCATTCAAGCCATTCACAATGAAACTCAATCAATTTACTGTTTTTTTCCCTTTAATATATTTCTGTTAAATTAATGAAACGTGTCCAATAGTTTTTTTCTTTACACAAAAAAGAATATTTCTTACAATTTGCTAGAACAATAGCTTATCGATCGATTTCACCAAAGACAACGTCAAGTGTTCCAATAATGGCTACGATATCAGCAAGCATGTGATTTTTGCCAACTTTATCGATTGCAGCTAAATGAGCGAAGCCAGGAGCCTTTATTTTACATCTATATGGTCTGCTGGAACCGTCTGATACTAAATAAACACCGAATTCTCCTTTTGGTGCCTCAATTGCTGTATATGTTGATCCTGGAGGAACTTGATATCCTTGAGTAAAGAGCTTAAAGTGATGAATAAGAGCTTCCATGGATGTTTTCATTTCATGTCTTGATGGTGGTGTCAATTTTGCATCATCAACTTTAATTTCTCCAGCTGGCATTTGGTTCAAGCATTGCTCAATAATTCTAAGTGATTGACGCATTTCTTCGCAACGAATCAAATAACGGTCGTAGCAATCACCTTTAGTTCCAATCGGAACATCAAATTCTACTAAATGATAAGCATCATAAGGTTGAGTTTTTCTTAAATCCCACTTAATGCCAGATCCTCTCAACATAACACCACTGAAGCCATAATTAAGAGCATCTTCAGCTGAAACGATGCCAATATCTTCAGTTCTTTGGATCCATAAACGATTGGTTGTAAGCAAATCTTCAACTTCGTCCAATCGTTCACCGAATTTAGCTGAGAATTCGTAAATATCGTCAAGTAATCCTAATGGCATGTCTTGAGAAACTCCACCGGGTCTAACATAAGCTGCATGCATACGAGCTCCAGAAACACGTTCATAAAACTCCATCATCTTCTCACGTTCCTCAAAAAGCCAGAAAAAGGGTGTGATAGCACCAACATCCAAAGCGTGCGTACCGACAGCCATAATATGATTCAAAATTCTAGTGAGCTCGGCAAACAGAACTGTAAGTATTAGTATTATAAGTAAGCTTGAAATGAGATGGATTGTATTAATGTCATACCTCGGATGTACTTTGCTCTAATTGGAATATCGATGTTCAATAGCTTCTCAACAGCTAAAGAGTAACACTGCTCATTGCACATCATAGAGACGTAATCAAGACTGCAATAAAAGAAAAAATAAGTAAATAAAGCGAGTTGAGGACGTAAGAAGTAGCCTTACCGATCAAAATAAGGTAATGCCTGAGTGTACGTCTTGTATTCAATGAGTTTCTCTGTACCACGATGCAACAGTCCAATATGTGGATCAGCGCGAACAACAGTCTCACCATCAAGTTCCAAAACCATACGCAAGACACCGTGAGCAGCTGGATGTTGTGGACCAAAGTTAACACTCATATTACGGACATTTTTTTCAGGCAACGGTGCCATTTTTCCGTTATAAGGTGGAACTTTCCATTTTGCTGTTACCTCATCTGGATACATGACAGCACCACTGAATTGTTGAACAAATTCAGAATCTGGATACCAGCGAGCACCTCCTCTTGTTTGGCTATAATCATGATAAGTATTAAAAATATGGAAAATTATGCAATGAAAAAAATTTACAACAACAAAAAAAAGAAATAAAAATGTCAATTTACTTTGCATTATATAGAGCACCGGCATTCTGAAGGACTGCTTTCGATAGATTAGCGCTTGCTGTCTTACGTGCAATGTTACTAATAATTGAATAAGCCATTATAAGAGCTTATATCACTTAATAAACATAAAAAGTTAAATTGAACGAATGTTGTTTTGGCTATCGAAAAAAAAACTTCAGCAACTATAGAAGGTACGACTAATGTAATATACGCAACCCTGTATAAAAATATTTGTCAAAACCTGCTAAAAGCTTATTTTTGGAATCTTATAAATGAAATAAATTAATAAATACAATTAAAAATGGACAATGCTATAATTATTATTGATTCTGATGACGAGGAATGTGCGAAACAGGTGAAGATTAATTAAATTAACATGCTCAATTCCAAATATTTTCATTGTTTATAATTTTATGCATTGTTTTGTAACATTTTTTAAAATTTGAAGGATGAAAAGTCGAAAACGTCAGTTTCGCAAGTTAGTATACAGAACGGGAAGCGACCGAACGATTTACCTAATGAAAGTGATTGTCCACCAATTAAGCAACGGCGTATACAGCCACAAAAAATTGGTGAAGTTGAAAAGAAGGTAAAAATAGTTGAGACATCCAGCAGTCAAGAGACAGTTTCGGATTTAGGAAATAAAGACAGTTCAACATCCATCACAACTTATAAATCAACAGCCAGCGATGAGACACAGACAAAAGAGAACAAAACCGAAGACGTTCCATCAACTGGCACTGATGTAAAGAAGGAAAAGCATAAGAATGTAGTTACCAAAGAACTAGAAGCATTCATTAATGCATGTCGTAAATCTGAAAATAACAGTGATATGAAGAAGATAATAAAAAGCAAATTGGTCAAATATTATGATCTAGTTCATCCAGAATATGCACAGTCAAAATATCTACGAAAACTCTTTGAGGACACAGCTTTAGCCATTTTACGTGATCCAAAGACTGTATATTCCAAATTACAAGATGTAATAAATGAGTTAAAATCACGAAAGAATTGTGGACCTGTGATTGTTGCTGAAGAGGAGGTAAAACAGCCTAAAGTTGAAGTAGAAAAGGAACCAGATAAAATAAGTGTCGAGAATGGAGGCAGTGACGAAATTCAAACGACGGGTGATGAGAAAAAGGATAATCAGCTAAGGAAGCTTAATAAAGCACTAACAAAATTAAAGAAGGCAATTGAGGATCTTGAGGAAGCAGAAGTGAATTTGGACGAGGAAGAAGATTCAGCATATATGAAGAAAGTTCGGTACGAAAAACGAGCAGTTGAGGTAAGTAGAAGAATATAATCAATAAATTCAGGAACTAATCATTATTCCTTTTCAGATCTACAATAAGATTTGCGAAATTACCGGAGAATCCTCGCACGCTCATCGGATCATTAAGCAACCAATCAAATTTAAAGGCACTGACTTTAAAGAATTCAATAGGCGCCTTTCAAAAAAAATCAACAAAGAAAATGGATTTCCAAGTTTTTATGATGTTTTCAGGCTGCTAGACTTTTGTAATAAAGAGTACAAATATAAGCTTTTAAGGGATGAGATCCAGACTATTTCACAGCTTGCGTTTGTGGAAGTTGGGAAATTATTAAAGGAGAGGAGGTGCAACGATCTTTATGAATCTGCCGAACATTATGCTGGAAAGAATAAGGTGAGAAGTTTTGTTCACAATTCTAACGGTTTTCAAATATTTAAAATTGGTTAAGTTCAAAAACAAGGTTCAATTTTTTAAATCTCCAGAAATCGTTAAAAGTTTAAAATTCAAACATCCGTTAAGTTCTCAAATTTTTAATGATCTTTTAAATTAATGAATTTATGAATTTTAGGACCCCGCAAAAGAAGATCCCGAACTTAAATCGAAACTGGAGAAGAATAAAGAAGTTTCCAAAAAGAGAACGGAGGAGATTCTTCAATTGTAAGTCAATAAACTATCCTGACATGTCAACTTTTATTAATTTAACAATTACAGTTATGTTGCAAAGCAGTTAAAAGGTGAGAATGGCGAGGATGATGATGTAGAAATGGGCGAATCGAGTAACTCAATCTCTAATGGTTCCATCGACAAAGAACATGAAACAGAAGAATTTGAAATTCAAAATCGACCCACAAAAAATATTATAATCGACATAAAAACCGAATGTGATATAAATGAAGATAAGAACGACACACCAGCTATAGATTTAGCGATCTCACTTTGAAAGTCTTGGCACTTGCTTCAATAGTTTATGTCCTATTGCTTTTTGTCAATTTTGACCTGCATTCATGTATTTTTTTTGTTTGATTTTCTATGCTTTACAAGTTTAAAGTATCCAAAAAAAAATTTAAAAACTTTATGTTAAAAATATTTAAAAGATTTTCTTTATTTTTATGTCCAATTCTGAATCCTTATTCTGAGAAATGTAATAAAGATAACTCTGTTCATTTTTTAAGATTATCAATTATTGATCTTGTTATCTCATAGTCTTCAGATGCAAGATTCTCAATTATGTTAAAATGGTCTACGTCCAAAAATTGTAATTTCTTCACAAATTCCTTAATTGAACTTTCTGAAAACATTCTTGATTGCTCCTTGAACTTGTCACTTTCGTCTGTTCCAGCATAAATGTAGACATCAACTTGATTATTCTTTAGGTACGAAAAATCTTTGTAAAGCGGAGACAGCTTGTGCCAGTTTTCATCAGTAATCGTTAAGATATTTCCATCATTTGCAGCATTTAAGTTTCTTAGTTCCTTCAAACAATAAACACCTGATATAAAGTATGCATCTATTGAGACTGTCTTCATTTCGTCCATAAATTCTCGTGAGAGAGCAAACGCTCTGAAAATGGTGGTATAAAGTCATTAATTGATTACATGTCATCCTTAAAGACACAAAAACTTACAGTAAATGAGCTCCAACGCTGTGGCCAGCAATCGATACTCTTTTAACATTCTTTCTATGAACATACGAGCTAATCCACTTAAAACAACTCTGAATTTGATCCACAATATCCTCAACCGTAACTTTTGGACACAATTCATATTCAACGACAATCACACGAATTGAATTTTTGATGAATGGTTCAACGAAGAAGCTTGAATAGTCCTTATCTAGTTCCTGCCAGTATCCACCGTGAATGAAGATGAATAATGGTGAATCAGGAGGTAGATTGTCGCCATAAATATCAAGTTTTTCTCGTTGAGTTGGTCCATAAGAAATGTTTAAGTGACAGTCATATTTTAAACGATTTTCCTGTGATTCTGTGGATTAAATGGACATGATTAATGTTTTTTTATATGTTTTTTTGTTCAGTTGCTCTGTCTGTTTCTTTTCTTTGTGATTTAGGTATCAATAAGTGGTTTTTTTGATTCCAAAAACTTGTAAATCTCAAAAATTAATCCAGGATTAAATTTAAATCGCAAGATTAAGACTAGTTTAATAAACAGCTCATGTAGCTACAAAACAAACTTACTTGAATTTGAGAAATTCAAAAAATAATTCAGCAACTCCTCACGACTTTCAAATCGCTTAGAAAATAACGACGGTGTATATTGTCGTTCTAATTCTTCATTTGAGGTCATTACAGCACGAAAGTTAAAAGCAGACTGACCAGATTCCAGTGAAAATGAACAAATTGTTGAGAAAGAGAAGCATAAGAAAAGAGAATAAATAGCTACTTATCGCTTATGCTTAGATTCATTCCAGATAAGTTTAAATGGAGTATTTCTAATCTTTGCGTGCCTTATCAATATTTTTAAAGACCACAACTTCTGTAATTTTGAAAAAATAATTTGTTTATTGATTAATAAGAAGTCACAAAAATGCCATGTAAATTCTATTCAATATTTTTTGAATCTACAGTATATCCAACCATAATCCATCCGCTTGATCCATTAATTTGAACTGCTGGATGCGTTCGCATTGGAAGAACTTGATAATTTCTCATAAAATTCGTCGTCAATCGGACATTAATTAATCCGCATGAAGCTTTAACTGCTGAATAACATTCCATGAGAACTTCCTTGCATGTATGGAATAAGACTACTGGTCTTCCAGGATTGACAAATGGCAGTAATTCCTTTAAAATTGGAAGTGGGTCTTCTTTAGAAACAATTGTGAGAGAATCAACTTTATTTCTGAGAACTTTTAAGGCTTCCTCGTTTTCTTCTTGCCATTTTTGTTTCTTTATGTTCCTTTCATTTTCTCTTTGTTGTCGTTTACTGTCTATCGGTTCCACTGGAGCACTCTCAGTCTCTAAGTTTTGACGTTTTGATGGATTTTCTTCAGATTCTTCGTCGTTTCCATTTTCATGCTTCCTTTTCCTGCTTTCAGCTTCAACTTTGTCAAAATCTTTAACTTCTAATTCTGCAGGACCTTGATAAAATTGACGTAAAACTGAATAGACATTAACGGATATGCACTTCTTTAAGTGATCATCAGACAAATTTAGAGCAAAAATTGCTTGCTTTTGAGGAAAATTTCCAGGATGCAAATGAATTAATTGAGCACTTCCTTCTTCGCCTATTGAATTTAAAAATGCTGCAGGTACTAATCCACTAGTTCCAGATTCATAAAGAAGGAAATTTCCAGTTGGATTAATTCCAGAATACGATATTAACTGTGACAATGAATCTATTCTTAGTCCTAATGCCTTTTCAGGATCTTGTCTGTAAAATATCTCTGCTAATAATCTAATTGTTGGCTTTCTAATTTGCACAAACTCAAAATACTTCTTTTCTTTCTTTTTAATGTATTTTTCTTGTGAATATTCAGTTTTTTCATTGAATGACTTGGAATTGGCTATGATTTTTCCTATTATCTCTGTAGAATCTGCCATTGTTTCTCTCAAGCTTAACACTTCATCGTTTGATAGAATTTGAGACTGTGAGAGTTAATAGAATTAAATCATTTAGAGTATAATCAAGTTACAAAAGCTTACCTTTCCGTCATCGACGATATTTCTATTGTCAGATCCAGATTCCATACTTTTAAGGATTTCCTTGACATTTGTAGCATTATCGCATATCTCTAATTCATGCAATCGCTTCTTTCCTGACTGCTTAAACTTCATTTTAAATGTTTGATAGAAATTTGCACCTTCAATATTTCTAAGCTCGACAATCTCTTTTCCTAAAGATACAGTTGAATCTAGATTGCTAAACTTGTGTAACTTGGTAAAGTTTTGTCTCTGAACAATAATGTACTGTCCAACTTCCACTTTATCACCCATTTTTAATTAAATTAAACTTTTTTGTGTCGGTACGAATGAAGGAACACGCTGGTCGTGTAATCAAAACAAATCCTAGTTTTGGGCCCCTGAAAAATAAATATTTTCAAATTTTAAAAAAACGTTGAAATAAATTTTCAATAAAAATTTTCCTGCATTTTATTTCCAATTTAAGAAGAAAATATTAGTGATTCAAATAGTCTTAAAAGCTACAGAATAATGTATAAATTATCTGTTAATACTCAAAAGTTAATAATAGTATAAGTAATTCTTGTCAAAAAGTTTCTCTTGTTCTCATAAAATTCCACGCTGTACAATCAGGTTGATTTTATCTCCTGATGCTGCGATTAAAGGCACTGTAAGGCAGCAATCAAAATCCACTGTTTTAGTTCCATTTACCTGTAATGAAAATATATTTAAATAAACTAGATTTCTGGAAAAAATAATTAGAACTTACTTGTATAATTCTGTCATAAGGCATGACATTGACATGATCAGCAGGTCCTCCACTTCTAATTCTATTTATATAGACACCACGTTCATACAATCCATCAGATACAGAAAATCCATAATCATCATAAACTTGATCCTTGTAAAGTGTCACGTGGATAGTCTTCAATTGTCCATCGCTATTGTTACTTCCACTGCGACTACTTGAGTTTGAAATTGCATCCGCTTTCATCAAGTTTAATGGACGTCTTTGAACTTCCGCATAAAGAGCTTGTGGTTGTGGCATTTTCTCATTTATTGACAATATTGAGTTTGTCATTTGATTATTACTAATATTGCTTCTTGACAGCCTCAATTCTATTATATCATCCTGAACTTGAAGTAATTTTGTGGCACATGACAAAGGCATTCCGACTACATTTTCATTATTTATTGCTAAAAGAGTGTCACCAATTTGAATCTGTCCTGTATTTGAAGCTACACCATTTTCTGCTAATCCACTGATAATTATTGGCTTCTGTCCATCTTCATTTCCAGACAATGTTATGCCTAATGCGGTAGCACCATTTGGTTGTAATTTAACATTAAATACATGAGGCTGTTGTGTGATAAATGAAGATGTCATTAATGAATTATTTGGGATAGGTTGAAAGACTGAATCCTCATTTTCTTCTGTCTGTGTTCCATGCGATGACGTTGGTCCGATACTTAAACTCATCATTTTCTGTGCAGCTGCATAATCTACGTTATTATAATTGACCAAGTCTGTTGCTGAAATTGAATTTCCCATAACATCTTCTGAATGTTGTTCCGCTTTGTTTGGTTTCATTGTATTCCAAAATCTTGGTGCAGGCACGACTGAATAATGTGGTTCTTCATTAAAGTATGGTGATGAGTTGGGCTTCGTGAGCATTTCATTTGATCGTCTGTGGGAAATAACATTTTTATAAGGTATTTGTGATCTTAAAATGAGCTTATTTCCCTTTAAAGGGGTAAGAATGAGATACTAGTGATAGAGCAGATTACAAAATTAGAAAAGTTAAAAATGTTTGAGAAAACGGTCAAAATAAATTTAAAAAATAACTGTCAAAAAATATTTAAAGTTAAGTTCAAATGAGGTTCAAAAATTTGAATTTGAGAAATAACGGTTTTATGACAGAAGGCTCTAAAAATTCATTATCAACTCACACCCCCACACCCATCACCCCAATAAAATACTTACAAATTATTATTGTTATTACTACTGCTGTTATTCGCACCATTATTGAGCGAAATTCCATTAAATGTGTTCGTAAGGACATCATAATTTGCATAAGTAACGTTGGCATTCTGTCGATTCTGATTGTCATAGAGGAAATCAGGAACGGCATTACGCTTTATTGTCAATGTGATGCAGTCATTTTTATTTTCTTTTAATAAGACATCGACATTAAAATGCTGTATAGGATGTGAGTCGATTGCCAATAAAATATCGCCAACTTTTATGCATGCTCGATGTGATGGCGATCCAGCTTTTATGTCCGTTACAACAAAAGCACCATGTGAGGAACCTTTATCGGGAATAATATGTTATTAAGAATATTAAAAAGTAAAATTGAGTATGGCTTACCATTCACTGTAATTCCAAGACCTACATTCCGACTAGTTTTCATCAATTTGATATTAAAAATGCCACGCGTCGATTCATCAACAATCATATCAAATTCCACTTCCACTTCAACCCAATGAGCATTCTGTGTCTGTTGTGATTGATACGTCATTGGTACATCTCTTAAAATCTGTCGAATTAACTGGATGTCAAGATTGTAAAGTTTATTGACCGAAATAATTCGATCGCCTTTTTGAATGCAGCCTGATCGCTCAGCTACAGAGTCTGGTAGTATTTTCGTGACAACAAATCCACTTCCACTTTGTGGTGTCATACTAAGGCATAATCCCGAGCCATGAGTGCAGTCAAGAACAACTTGAATTCTCTCCGTACGAGCCATAATCGACGCATTATTGTCTAATGGCAATGAACTTTTCCGAAAGAATTTCTTATTCTGATTCATTTTTGGTGTTCGACGTGGATCCATTGTATTAAAGCCGGAAAATTTTGGACTTGTACATTGAAGACCTAGAAATTTTAAAAATAGACACAGAAAATTTATTATACCGTCCATAAAAATTAGACATAAATGTGGTAGCTAGATGACAATTTTTATTGCTCATTTTGGAATAAATATAAAGATGAACATGATGTTGTCATCTTGATACAAGAAGATTAAAGTTAGAATCACATTTACATGCTATGCATGTATTTAAAATGGATATTAATAGAAAATGATTCTATTTTTTTCCCCTTTCCTATTAGCACATTTCCCGAAGATCAGTGTTCTCAAAGTGGTGAATGAGATGTCATTTAATTAGAATTTCTCGGTATTATCTGATCGGTGTATGCTATTTCCGTTAATTAAGAACATTTTTATGCGAACATTGTGTTTGAATTGAAGGAACGAGAATTTTGAAGTTAACGGATATTTAGAATTTTATCTTTGCTGATCCTTTGTCCTTTGTCCTAAACGTTACGCAAGATCCCAAAAATAGAAATCATGCATTAGTTTGTGCCAAAACATTGGCAGTTGTATTTGAATTCTAAAGTTCAAAAAGTCAGTAATTTTTCATGAATCATCAAATTTAAATCTCAAAAAGTCGCTACAAACTCAAGATTTAAACGGATTGCATTTATATCAAACTTAATTAATGATATCGTTGATCTTAACTTCATTACTTGTTTACGGCTTGCTACTGTAATGAACATATGATTGACATCAGGAATCTAAGGCGCCAACTATCAAGTTTAATATGATCGCGAATGAAATTGAAGAATGTAAAGGAAATGGGATGATGAATTCAATTAAAATAATTTCATATCATGAGATACATAACGCAAAGGACTTGTGGCAATAAATTACATGTTGATGCCGCAAAAAAATTCAATTGATTCTTCAGACAAGATTCATTCTTGTTTCTTAATGTTAAGATCACATGATAAGGCAATAAACACATCATTATGGTGGCTCTTAATATGTATAGCAGAAGGAAGTGAGTGACATTCTTTAAGACACTTGAGAAAAATTCTTACAAATGGATGTAAGCATGTGAAAATATCATCATCAAAACAATTAAGTATGAATAATCTCTCACGCTTTGCCCCCCTGCACACTTCCTTTTATTGTTCTCAATTTTGTGTACATTCTCTCTCATTGCATGGGAGTGCCTTATTTTCATACCGTTTTATATTATAGTAATACAGCAGACAGCGACATTAGATGAATAACAGCTGTTTCGACGCGCGATGCTCTTTCAAGGAATTTCTTATTTGAGGCAACAAACAAAAATTTTAGAAATTAAGATCGTGATGTCTCTCAAAATAAAAGTACAATATTTTCATGTTTTTAGAATATCCAAGTAAACAACAAGAAGTCTTCACGATCCAACGATAAAAAAATTAAGACATTTTTATGCTACATGCTGTATTCTTATTTAAATGTCTGAATGATTTTTCGATGCAATGCATTTGCATTTAACAAGAGGCGAGAAGCCCATTAAGATAATGCCACTTAATCTTGAATGAGTATCAATTTACTACATTAACTCTTTTCTGTCTTGACGATTGTGTATATCATAAATTTTTTCATACTTGTATTTTTAGCATGTTTATGTTTATACAGAACAAAATAAGTATTTCAAAATATTTTCATTACTTAACGCAGTTGTTCAAGATAAAATGTTCATTTTAAATGGCATAAATCAGTCATTTGTTTTAAAAACCGTTAAAAAATTGAATTTAAAATTTTTGCTTCAATTGATGCAAACTTTCAACGTTTTAAAAATTCGTTCAAATTTCAAAACTTTCAAACCCGTTGAAAATTCCAAATTTTCGCTTCAATTGATGCAAATTTTCAAATCTGAAAAATCCGGTAAAATTTCAAAATGTTCAAATGCTCAAAAAAATTCACAATTTCAAAATGTTTAAATGCTTAAAGATGTAAAATAGTCACCCACTCCCAAAGACACTTCATTCCTCTTCTCAAGTAGCTTAATTGCATTATTAATTGAATAAAGTTCATTTACCTTTTCGCCTGAGTATGGCATGAGCAGGAAGTATTTGAAGCTGCGTAAATCCTTTCGTACAATTTGAATCAATTAGTTGTAAGACATCATCAGGCACAAATCCAGTATTTTCAATGATTGTATCATCAACTGATAAGACTTGATCACCAACTGACAAAGCACCACAACGATCAGCAATACTTGCAGGAATTATGTTAGAAATGAAAATTCCAGCTGGCTGTAAGGAATCAATTCGGTTGAAATCTGATGACAGCGGCATGTAATTGCATAGAACTAATCCCATCTGTTCATTCATCGAGCGTTCTATCTCAATTAGTAACGGCCCCAGACTAAATTCAACGCTTTGCATTACCGACACTTCATATTCAATTGTGAGATTACAGAATGGATTGTTGTGTCCACATTTCAGAATTTGTTGCGCTTCCGTTAATGACTTGTGTACGAGAGATACCTGATTGAGTATGAAAAATTATTTTTTTGTTCTTAATGACTGACAATTTAACTGCTTCTTACATTGTCGACGCGCAATACTCGATCGCCTGGCTTTATACGACTAGTTTTATATGCCGGTCCATAAGCACGAACATTTGTCACAATAATCGGCATGTCTGAACCTCCTCGAAGCGTTAAACCGAGACATCCATTTTCCCGTTCAACTATTACTTGTGCCAATTTCGTTGTGACACAAAGACTATTTTGTGAAACTAATTAATGATAAAAAATATGAATATTTTACGCTCAATTAGATATTTTCAAGTTTAAGAGCTGCTTGTCTTTATTACTTACGGTAGTCTGGCAGTGAATATTCAATCTCTATGACAGCATTTTCCTCTCGATTACACAATAAGATATTCATTACTTGCTCATTTGTTAAACCTATTGTAGAAATTCCATCAATTTGATGGATACGATCGCCTGGCGCTAAGAAATCAGCATTTGGCTCCAGTAGATTAATTGTTTCAATCATTGGAGGATATGAGACATCGGGACGATCTGAAAATAGGGTGTGCAGAGGAGAATGAGTGAGATTGGGGGTTCTAAATTCATGTTTTTTTATTTTAAAAAATAACTGTCAGTTTGGATTTGAATCGATTCAAAAAATCAACGGTTAATCAAAATTCAAAATTGTCAAGTTCAAAATGATGTTACATTAATTTTTTGAAATTTTGAAATCCGTTAAATTTTTTTGACATAATTTATTTGAGTTTTGAAGCTAGAAGGTTTCTAATGTTGGGCGATTCCATGGGTAAATGAAACTGAAATTTTTTTTTTCAAAAACTTTTTTAGCTTTTTCTGCTTAAATATACATATTTCAACATATCTTTTCACTAAATAAGACTTATTATTCATCAATTCATGTGTTATTAGCATTTAATCGTCTTAATTATGCTGCATTTTGACAAAAATTTGTAATATGTTTTGCAATAATCGGTTGAAAGTTGACCGATTAAGTGGTGTTTTCCCCAATTTTCTCCTTAATTACAGTAGAAAGACATACAAATAAGATATTGTTATAAAGCACAGACGATTTCACGTGTGTTTATCATAGATTTGTAACACAACAATGGATATTCGAAGAAATATTGATGAAAATTTAAAAATCAATTTTTCGTAAAGTTGACCGATTAAGTTTGGTTTTTTTAAAATATCTTTTGTCAGACAGATTTAACTAAAAGATTATGCACTTAAATACATAAATACCATAATAATAAATAAAATAAATCTTAAATATGGCGTTAAATGAAGTTAATTAAGGAAATATTTACAAAAACTTGAGTTGAGAAAAAAAAAATCACTCATGGAATCGCCCTGTTGTCAAAAAAAAGAGAAAACTTAAATTTATTTGTGCAAAATTGTATTACAAATTCTTAGCCATTTTTCATCCTCCTATCTTCATTCATAAAATGAAAAAGGCACAGAAAAAAAAGAAATAAAAATCATAAATTTTAATGAGAGTGACTTTTTTTCGTCGCTTATTCTCTACGTCTCTTTGCCATTGGAAATAAATTATAATTAAACATCTTCTCGCGACAGTTTCTTTTCTTGTCTTGTTTTTCCTTCCATTCGTGAGGAAAATGTTTGTATTTTGTTTTATGTTTTGAATCTAAAGTGATATGTGGAAGGATTAAGAGTGACTTAACTCTTTCTTCTTATAATGAATTTCATATTACATTTTGAGGTTAAATTTTTAATTACTGAGTATTCAACTATGGTTAATTTTGCGCATTTTTAATCCTAAATGAGGAACGGACTTTGATGCGAATTTAAAAACTTCTTTCTCGCGAATAAATTGACTAGGTACAGAAAAAAATAAAAATATGACTAAACATAGAATATGCATTAAATTTCAGACATACGTCGCCAAGGAAATACAGCAAGAGATGCGGGATAGAATTTCTTCCCTTTCCTTTCATAATTCATAATATTTAATGGTTTTTGACAATTGATGAATAATATTGCAAAAATTCCGTTAGAAAATTATTCAAATTTCTGCTTCAATTGATGCAAAAAATTCAAAATTTTGAAAGACGTTAGATTTCTCAAAATTAAAAAAGTAATTTTTCAATAAAAGTAAAGGCAATGGAAATTGAAAATGAGTTCGGTTTCCATGAAAATGACACAAAAAAAAATTAAAATATTAGTGGTCGAAATGAAAAATCTTTCAATAAACATAATCATGTTTCTTGATGATCGTTAACTTCACAACTTGTTACTTGATATTATTTCTTACGATGTCTGTCTATCTGCCATGAAAATTCATGGTAATTTTTCACTTTTAATGACCACTTTTCAAGCGAAAAAGAGCTATTGGCAATCGCCCCCGTGAAAATCATCATATTAAGCAGAAAAAAGTTATTCTTTGTGATATTTTCATTAAACAGAAACTTTGAATATGAATAATACACAAATAAACTAGAATTGATTTTGACACTCGTGACCAGAAAAGTGCACTTCTAATCGAATTAAAACCTTTGAAGAATAACGATCAAAAATTATTTGAAATATAATGGTTAAATAATATTTGTAATTTAAAAGTCAATTTTTTAAAAATTTTAACGGTTAAAATTGAGAAAATGGGCCAAAGAAAGAATCAGTACATAGACAAAGTGTAGACAGTCCTTTAAAGAAACAGGAATAAAAACTATATCGCGAAATTAAAGAAGAATTGTAAATCAAAATCATGACTTGTACCGTCCCGCATTTAAAGAAACTTTTTTGAAATTAATTTGACGTCGACTCCAACATGATTTTTTACATCTTAATGATATGTGACGAAAATTTTCTATGTGTCGCTGCCTCTTCTTCAGTAACACACAAATAAGCCGTGTGTTTGATATATTTTTAGATCAAGACGGGGAAAAATAAGAAGAAAATGTTTATTTTATGTATATTTTTTTTTCAAGAAAGAAAAGTGGGAAATGTGAAGGAATAATGAAGGTACAAATAGTAAATAAATAGTAAGCAAACATAAATCTTACCAGCGAATATGATTCCCATAGATTGTGCATTCTGTCGTGGTATTGAAATTGTAGCATATGTTGTCCCTCGATCTGCTGCTAATCCTGAATCTTCTGACTGTGCTGGACTCAATGCACGGCCTGTAAAAAATGGTTTAAAATCAACATTAATTTAATTTTGAATAGATTTTTACCAAAAGTCGTTACATAAATATTCAAATAATTAACAGATTTTAAAAATTCAAATTCAAAAATTTAAAATCATAACGTTTTTTCCTTCGAAAATCTGAATCAAGAAATTAGCACAATGTACATAAATTGAAATGCATGTGTGGCGAATGCAGCATATAGACTGAATGATTCTTTATTTAAATAAATTAATTAACCATAGTAGATGAAAATAATGACAAATTATTAATTAACATTCTTCGCCCATCTCCTCACTCTGTTGGCACAATGAATTACTCAATTCACTCACGATGATATCTAGACATAAAAAATCTCGTTCAAGAATGACATGACGGGAGTGAAAATGAGATAAAATTATGTCGGCCTACAATAAATCTAAGCTTGATGAATTTAAAAAGCATATTAAGCATATTCAATCAAGTTTTTATTTGTACATTTAAAGTAGACAGAGTTGTGGATCATCTACAGATTAAGTATGAAAGCAAGCAGATATTTGTTTGGGGTCTAACGTAATTCAATAGGATCTTTCAATTGTCCTTCTTTAAGCGTGTTCTTTTCAGCTGAGGAAGGAGCTGTTAGAATAAAGAAAAGTGCTCATTAATGCACCCAATCATCAAAATGGTCTCAGTACTTTTCATGATTATAAATCTGAGTCACACTTTTCTTTACAAGGAATTCCACAAGGGGCCATTCATTTATTACGTAACGCTTTTAGGGGGAGGGGGGTCTAAGATTTTTTTACGGTTCAAACAAAGAAATTTTTTTTTTCACACAAATTTTGTTACGAGGGGGGGGGGGGGGTCTAAGAAGTCATTTTTTTCGCGTTACGTAATAAGTGAACAGCCCCCAACTTTAAATGATCAAATTGGAATTGATTCTACGAAAAAAAAAAACGTCGAACACAAAAAACAATGCGATAAATCTTGCCAATCTTATACGAAATAGCAATTCTTAAAAAGGCATTCGCCCATCCCGACAAAAAATAATTTCATTCCATAAATTCTTTGTATGTAAATTGTGCTGTAAGTAAATAAATATCATCATGAATAGACAAAAGAGAGAGATTCAGTATTTATTTATTTTTGTGTGTTCCAGATGAATGAGCTGCTCTTCATGTCTCCGAGCAAATCAATTCATCTTTTGCATAAATTCTTTATTCTCTTTATGCTGCTCATGGTACTGCACATTTAGTGCCTTCTTTAATGCAACAACAATGTTTATTCATGATGAAAGTTATGTACAGAACAGAAGAAAAATTGTAAAAAAGAGACATCGATGATTGTATGTGAAGTGGCTTTGATGTTCTACACTTTTTTTGTGGCTGTAAAGTTATTTTTTAATTTCTTATGACACAGCATGAAGTTTATGGACTGTATAGAAAAAGGAGGGGAAGCACATTAAACCCAAATGCTCCATTAAAGTTTTATATTTCAACATAATAAAATTCAATATTATTTTTTGGATATATATTAATAGCAAAAATCGTTCCTGATAGTCTTTATGTGGATATTGTCTTGTTTTTCTTTGACTTAAATCTAGTTTTTAATTTTGAAATTCAAAGACTGTTTTTCAAAATTTAACGGCTTTATAAAATTCAAAATTTTGAACTCTGTTTTAAGTAAAATTTTGTTTTTGATTCAAATTTTTGTAATCCGTTAATTTCTAATATTTATTTTTATTCGTTTTGGACTTGAAAGCCGTGAATCATTTGATGATGAAGCCAAAAAATCAGCAAAACTCTTCATTCCTCCCCATCAAAATGTGCTAATGATATTCAAAACCATTATAAAAAGGAAGAGGAAACGAATGACTTTTCAAGGGGTATTGTGTGTCTAACAACTGACAAAAAATATCATAAAGGCATTCCGCAATACGGTAGCTAAAATTATCTTAATTATTCATCCATTCCATTCTCTCATACCCGAAAAATGCCACACACACAATTGTCATAAAACAGCATGAATCTCAGCATTATTAATCAACATATGAAAATCATAAGATCCATCCCTAATTTCCGAAAGATGAAACAAATGAGGAAAGATTGTGAATGGGATATCTTTGTTACCAATACGAAAAGGACGTGCTGCGTTAATGCAACAAATTAATACTTAAACTCTTTTCAGAGATCTCAATTTTGTTAATGCACTTTGCATTTCCTGTTTCGACTTTTCCTCAACTTTACTTCAGATGTTGGATATAAAGTAAACATGTCAAAGTGAAATCGTCGACATTTATTATGGAATTAAATAATCATTTAGCATTTTGACACTTATCAATACGGCATTAAGTAAGTTCCCCTGAGAAGTGATATTTTGACAGATTTGTGGATCTATTGGATGTAAATCTTGTGATTATGGGACATAAATAGTATTTTAGTCTTTTATCAAGCGAGGGACAAGGATTTTTCGAGCATGGGAAGTTTTTTTTAACATCACCCTTAAACTGATAAACCTTTGAGTTTACTTGAGCTAAATCTGATATCCATAAGATAATCTCAAATTAACTTGCGCGACACATTTCTATCAACTGAAAATCTCACATTTAATTATATTTTTTCATCATACACAGTAAACAGCATTAAGGAAGGCGCATCAAATCAAATTTCCTTCACATCACAAGAGTGCAACAAATCATTGCACACAGCGAGAAAGAGCGCGATAGCAAGCGACTCAGATTGAATTATAGTGAAAATATTTTCTTTGGCAACTCATTAGAGACGCACGATGGGATCATAAATCTTTTAACACACCAAAATACAACAAAATAGTGTCTCGATCTTAGTTTTGCTTTGCTTTTATTTCATTTAAGTATTTGTTTGATTATATAAACGTGAGGATGGCCCATCATGAATCTTAAAGCTGTGTCTAATAACTTTGATTTTGTCAAATATTTGTGTAAATCTAGTTTAAATATAGATGCATGGAGAATAAGTGTTAGAATTAGGGTGACAGACATGCACGCTATATATCGCATTTATGAAAATGTGTTAACTGATTTCATAATTTATTAAATAGTCTTTATTTTAATTTTTTGTAGCTTAATTTAATCCAATCAATGGAAAAATAGAAATTGATTGAATGGTTTTTTCGGGTGTTGAAGGGAATTAATTAAAATAAATTGAAGTTTAAGACAATTTGTAATGTAATTTTTAAATTCAAATCTTAAGTTCAAAAAATATTTTGAACAATCTCTAAACGCACACAAATACAATAAAAATTTAAATCAAGTTTTTGGACAAACTACAAGGCAATCAATTACTTTGCAATGAAAGAATATTGCATTATTAAGAGCTTGATTTGCTTCTATATGAAATAAATTATTCAGAATTTGTGGAATTCGTAAAGATAATAAAGACAGAATTCAATTAAATCAATCCTGAACTGTCGACAATCCGTGCCACGAGTTGAAACATTATAGGCTATTGCAGTAGTCAAAAATGATTTAAGAGCTTAATTGTGATTGTTACTCCTTTAAACATACCTACATGAAAAGTGATATTGAATAAAAAATACGTTTTAATTCCATACATTTAAAAACATTTGTTCTGTTAATCTTTTTTTTGCAGATTTATTATTGAAGAGAACACGTGATGAAATTAACGTCATTTAAGAATTTGAAATTTATAAAAAAAGTCGAAAAAACAATTTTTCGTAAAAATGATATGGTCGTAAAAATGAAGTGTTCGTAAAAATGAAGTTTCGAATTTCTGAAATTCGTTATTTTAATAGGCACTCCTATTGTAAATATCGTCTTTGTGTTAGTGCAAATATATTCAAATTTTGTCCGTTACAAATTTCTATTCAGGAACTTAACTTTTAAGCTTAATTTTTAAGGTCTTAAATTTTGTGTGATTCGAACGTAATAAGTAAAATGTTTCCATCCACTGGATCAGACAAAATAACAAATTAACTTCTATTAGGCAATAAAATTAGTTTAAAAAGGGAGCAAGGCATGACGATATAATTTAATCCAACCCTATAAATCATAAAAATGAGTCAATCAAAAGACGAGTCGCCGCTATAAAGAGATAGTCACGTTAACATTTTCTTTTAGTCTAATACGATTTATTTAAATTATTACGAGGGTTTTCAATTATTAATATTTAGTCATGCTTAAATGATCTTCAAAGGGGAAATTGCTTCCTCTCTGTTCTGACCTTAATTTAGGACTAAGTTTATACATAATTTTAATATTTATGGAAAGTGACGATATTAAAGAAATTTCAATCTGACAAAACCTTTTAATGTAAAATTGAAGATTAAAAGCAACGCATCTTCATTCGATAGATCGTTCGGTTCTTTATTTATTATATGTCTTTTTTCACTCATCGCCGACCGCTATTTCTATCGCGTGTCAAAATACGGCAAATATAGAGAAAAAGAAACTAAAGTGACGAGATCTCCCTTTTGATATTTGAATCATTTTCACAACACTTTTCTTGCGCATACATTCAAGTCTTTTTTTCTTGTTAGCGATCATCGCACACACAAACTTGCAAAACAGTCAATATAGAGCATGTATTTTCCACTCGAATGACTAATCGAACTTCAATTTCGTAAGAGTTCAATGTATAATAATAAAAGAATCATCTGTTTAAACTTGCGTTTGTGTTTAAAACGCCAATCTAATTAAAAATACAGTCGTTGAGCTTGGGATATCCATATGCTTGATTAAAATGCCAATAATTCTTTAATTTTTTTTTTGGGAATTTTTAAAATGTTTTAAATTTAAGAATTTTTATCTCATCAAATAATAAATTAAACTAGTCAAGTACCTGCATACTTTCGAATGCTTACTATCCGCGTAGTAAGTAATCATTTTTGTTTCGAAGGATGAAGGAGATTAGATTTATATTTTTAAAAGGATTTAAGCAAATGTTCTCGACCAATTCTCGATTTGACAGCCTTTATTAACCCAATAAAATCAAACTTCCTTCCCTGCTTAGGACCTAAAGCATAGTCTTATGCATTCTACTTTAACTATGATATGTTGAATATTCAGACAAATTGTTCGCAACTGACTGCTGATTTATAGACCTCACTGCGTATCAATCAATTGTCGTTTGTTTAATAGACGACCTACTTTACCTAGATCATATCATACGTTGTAATCAGAGATGACGCTGAATTTATATATTTTTTACCCATCCCCCTTTGTGTGGGGCATTGCTAGACATCATTAATGAATGACCCCAAAATCAAACTCAATAAAAACTACTATCGACATTAGAATCCCCATCTGCCTTTGACTGAATGAAGAAACGAAGAAGAGAAGAAAAAAGAATTCACAAAACCATATATAACGAAATTTAATTAATTAATTGATTATAGAATCTTTGAAACTTAGAGAATGCTATTCACTCTCATAAGCAGTCTGTATAAAATACAAAAGGGTTGCTTAATAATTGGAACATTCATTGCAGATTAAAATCCGAACGGAAACTGCTTCTGATATCTATTAAATGTTGCAGCTATTTTATGAGAAATTTCGCATTCTATTCAAAAAATATCGCAGACAATAAAGCATCTAAATAGTTCATACATTTTGAACTCAAATCGTTTAAAATCAATAATAATTAAATTACTGTTTGATTATTTCCTATAAACTAGCTTTTAGAACAAAGAAGTAATTGAATTGAAAATGTGAATAGTCGGGTTAATGAATTAAGACTTTTAGAGCTCAAATTTTAAATTTTGAAAATTTAACGTATTTTTTATTTTTGAATTTTCAAAGTTCAAAAATTTAAATTTTGAATTTTCAACGGTTTTAAGGTTCAAAAATTTAAATTTTGAATTTTAAACTGTTTTTAAAATAATTCTTTTAAAATTTAAATAGCCACAAATAAGAAAATTTGGTATTACTTATATCCTATTATTAAACCTAGTTACCCAAACTGACCTCATTTGAGACTAAATCATTCATTTTTAATAATTTTTCAAATAAAAAACATTCCTGATAAATTCGATTATAAACGTTTAACGATGCGAACTTCTATGGAATAGCTGTTCATATGAGGGAATTGCACATTCATTCATTGAGGCACGCTTCATTAATCATAATCAATTCACTTCATTCTTATTGAAAATTCAAACTCATATTTTTTAATATCAAAGAGACAAAGGAGGAAGAAGAACTGTAAAGTTATCGATGTTGCATCGTGCATTAAGTAATGCTTGTAGATAAAAAAATATAACCCTTCTGTCTTTTTTGTTCGTTAGCAGATAATCGCATTTGATGGTAATAAATTTAATTAGACATCTCTGAAAACTTCATTCAGTCAGTCACTCAACATTATTGTGAAATACCAAGTCTTAATCTTAATTACTTTTCTCATTTTTTTTTTGTACTCATTAATTTTCTGCTTCGTGTGTGTTTATAGTCGCAATTTCTTTCATGATCGACAAGCCAACAAAATTTCACAGATTTTTGAATAGAGCATGTACATGGCTTCCCTCACCTTGTTATGACTTTAATGTATATTTTCGCTTAATCACGTTTATTAATGTCTCATAATCAAGGACAATATTTGACGAGATAATGCATTATTATGATTCAACCCCTTCGAAAAACTGCAAATAACACGCACATGCTAATTGTCCTTATGTACATGATGATGTCATCAATATTCCTTTTACTTCTACACCCCCCTTTGTAAACAGTACATTTATATATACGCAAAAAAGAGGCACCACGCTGATTCATTCGAAAAACTCAGTTGATGAATTAGAATACGCGAAAAATGAATAGAGTGAGAGAGTAAGGACATAAACAAGAAATTGTTGTTGGCAGCATATAGTTTTTGGCAATAATACAAAACATTAAATAGAGGAAAGGCAGGGTTTGTGAGCAGATGTAGAGTGTTGTTATGTACGGAATTAATTATTGTTATTGTTTTTTTCAAATAAATTGTTTGTGCATGAATTAGGGCTTGTCATGTGTGACTCGACTGACCGGGAATATGAGTATGGGGAACTTTTCTTTTACGGATCTGTTTTAAAATTTTAAATTATACTGAGGTGACTAATGTCTTTTGCACAGAATATGCCTACTTTGCTAGGTATACAAGGATATACTAGCATCTGGATGATATTGGAGGGTACATCAGGTCTTATGACGTACTCGTGTCTTTGCAATGACCAGAGCTTGCAAGTGGTTCGGATCCCACTATAAACTGTAGGTCTAATGGTGTGGTACAATAGATTCTTTACAAATTAAATCACAGTGCTTCCAGCTGAAAGGCTGGGCCCATCACACATTATTATTGACTAATTAGTCCTCAACGCAAATTCTATGAAGTTTTATTATTTTCGTCCTTACATTAAATCAATACCTAATATGATAGATCGTTCATTTATGATCTAATCAATTAAATTTTAAGACCCCTTAAAGATACACAACAACAAACCCCATCATTTGCTCCTCAAAACATCTACATCATTTATGAACAATCCCTTATTTCAAAAACGAATTTCCGAGAACCCCTAAGCAAATTTCAAGTATATTTAAAATGTTGATGAATCACACAAGCAATAATTATTTTAGGTCTAGTAAACGACTATCAAGTGTCACATGCTGCTTGCTTCATTTCTAGATTTGTAGACGACAAAGACAAAACTTTCCACATGTTCTCGTTACCTTGATGTAATCCATTAGCCATTTGATTTGTGGGTGTTGCTGTTGATGCTGCTGATATTGTCTCGATTTTATCTTCATCTTTATAGTTTTTATTTCCACTTAGATTTAGTTTTCCACTGACTGCTGACACGCAACTTGTTGTTGCAGATTTTTTGGATTTCCACAATTTCATTTTTCTTACAAATTATGATTTTTTTTCCTCTTTAAAAGACTCTCTTTCTCTTTTTATTTATTTTCTATCTTAGTTCTTATTTTATTTCTGTTTTTCTTGTGTCTGACTCGTTTCTTATTTTTCCACTTAATGCAATGCGAAGAAGATGAAAACTGAGGAAAATTTTTTTATCTTCATATTTTTTTTTCTTTTTATATTCTTATTTTTCTTTCATGTGTAGATGTATTAGGTATTGAAATTCATTTTTCAGATTAAATTACACAATTTTTACTCTTATTCAATTTGTCAATCACTTTTTAATAATTTAATTAAATGCGATTTTCTTCTTCATAAAAGTTTTTCAAATGAAAAATGGAAAAATAATTTTCCTTTAATGATTAATTCAGTAGTTGAGTACACACAGAAGAAGAAAAATTGAAGAGCTGAGAATAATTATACACAAGCACACAAAACGATTTTTCTTCAACCTTTCACAGCAAACGATCATCCGCAACTGTGAAGGAGTGAATTTTTCTCGTCTACTGAGCATTGAGTACGGGTTCTTTTTTTTTTGAGAGAGCGACATACAGCATAAAAATTGAGAGTATATTTCCCTTCAACGAATGTTTAATGAAAGCAATTTGTACGTAAGGAAATATCATGATCAATATAAGATGATGTTATGCTCAATATATACTTCATTTTTCCTCGTCTTGTCTTCTCATCTCATCTCATCTCTTTAAGATTTACTTTAAAAGCTTGTTTATAATTTTCTTCGCAAGTGCTGTTGAAATCTCAATGTGAAACATTAATGTGGAAATTGTTATCCTATCATTTATTATAAACACGCGCTTCTTCTGACCGCAAATTGCTTACCCAACTCATAAATTTAATTTTTTTTGCCAACGGTTAAAATTAGGGTAAATACTTTTGAAATTTGCACAATTTTGTTCATGAAAATTTCATTTGCGTGAAACTTTTTAACCGATCTTTGTTAAGGCTTGGTTAAGGTTTTAAACTATTGAAAATAGTGGAAATTTTCATTTCCAACCTCTTTTTTAAAGCTACGATGCTTACCAGCAGTGATATTCGCATTTTATTTTCAACTTTTGAAATTTGCACAAAAAACTTTTGAAATTTGCACACTTTTTTGATAGCAATCTATGACATTTTTGAATCAGATTTGTGTCAACAAACAATATGTTTACAATTTTAAGGGTGAAGAAATATTATGTTTCGTTATTGTGTTTTTATAACATCGTCAGAAGCATCGTCGTTGAATGTCAACAGGAAAATTAAACAAAAATCAAGCAAGGAAAAGCTACATATCCATTATAAGGCATAAAACATTAATGTTTTGAATCAGAAAAATTAATGTTTACATCAGAAGAATTAATGTTTACATCAAATTTCGCAATGTCTCCTAAGCTTAAAAGTGTGCAAATTTTAAAAGTGAAAAACAAGCTTTTTAAACGTGTTTTTGGGCACTTCCGCTTATTCTTTCACAAAAGAAATACTTCCAAAATTTTAAACAGCTTAAGAACTACATTTTTGGGTATCAAAATATTTGATAAAGCCACTGATTCTATCCCAAAACTTTATATTTTGCAAAGTTTCGTTTTGTATGAAAAATTGATTGCTGAAGGAATTCATCTTCCTGATGCCTTTAACAACTCAAAGTGGTACAACAGCATTTGTACAATAATTATTCAAAGATTTTGTGAAGAAAGTATTATCAGAAGTGGATATTCTGGGAGAAATTTGTATTTTTTATTTTCATATATGAGTGTGCAAATTTCAAAAGTTTTTACCCTATTTTAAAATTCATAAATCTTGCAAGGTGTGGAAATTTTGCACATATAAAATTTCTTTTAATTATTCATCCTTGAAAGCTCGTGTCAATAACACAACTTCCTTAGTTCCCTACCTGTGTAAGAATAGATTTATTCTCTTATTCATTAAAATTCAGATAATAAAAAAAAAATATAAAAGAATTTTCATCCCTTGAAAGTAAGGTTACCAAAAAAGATCCAGTAAATGACAAAATAATTAAAAAACTATTCAAACAATGAATATAGATGCTAAGATATCAATTAAAAAAGTCCCTAAGAGCTCCAAAAAAATGGATACAATGCAGAATAATAAATGTGGTAAGAGAACTAGAGAGAAATTAAGGATTATTGACATTCCTGGATGTTTCAGACTGTACTGACGAGTTATCAATAGCTAATGTGATAACTTTATCGTCATCAGAAGAACCGCCTGCAAATAAAACAGTTAAACGATCATATCATAAGAAAAATGACAAAATTGTTGAAAATAATCGTGCAACAATTACAAAATCAGTCAGAAAATGCCGATATACAGGGACATACAGCGCGAAGAATTGGAATAAGCAACCACAAATCATAAAGACTGTTAAGCTAAAGGATAGATTGGCTGAGATAGAAAAACTGATTAGTCAAAACAAAGATACAGGAATTATTTTGGACTACGATGAAAATGAAGCTAAGAAGTTTTTTGAGGCACTGGGAATACGTCGTATTTGTCCATCTCATATGTAGACATTCGTCTATTGATTTGGTGCTTTTTATATTTTAAAATTATTGAATTTAAGTTTTGATTGAAATGTATTACTTTTTAACGGATTTTGCGATTTTGAAAATTTGGCGGGAGTTTAACTTATTAAAAATTAAGGTTATATTTAAAGAAAATGTGAAAAAAGTAAAGTCTAATTAAAGTTTAATAGAAAATGGATAGAGAACGAGATAAGAAAATTCTTAATAAGTGTGAAAATCTTGCTACTTACTATATAAATTCAATAATAGAACAGGTAGCTCCGGAAATAAATCAAGACTTTCCTGGTATTAAAATTTTGATTTTTTGAGTCAAAAAATTATTCTAATCAAAAATTATTACAGAATATCCAGAGGATGTACCACAGGAACTGCTGTTTGTGCCTCCAAAACAACTTAATCTAGCACGTTCTATAGAGAAAACTAAGAAGCCTCGAATTAAAAAGGAAAAAGTACTATCGCCAAAAATTGAGTTTCAGGATGTTAATGAATGTAAAAGGTCTACGTCAAAAAGGAAATGCCATTATTCTGGGACTTATAACATAGAGAAGCAGCTTGAAATACTTCTTGATGATGAATCGGAGTCTGACAATAATGTTTTAGAAAATGTCAAACATCCAATAAGTGTCAGTAATGACCAATGTTCAAAAAAGGATGCTGAGGATGTTAAGAATATATCAGTGAATATCTCAGGAATTCAAAAATTATCTCCAGAACAAGCAGTAGTCGAAATCAATAACTATTCTGATGAATTTAGTCAAAAACTAGAAACATTTCAGAAATTCATCATCAAAAAACAACAAGAGAAGCCACGAATCCAAACATTATCAGATACGTCAAGTGATGAAGAAGAAACACAAGAGGAACTGGGTTTGTCGTTAAAGTTTCCTATGTGTTTAATTGAAAGGTGTGATTCGCAAGTAAATCTATCGAAAAAGTCACTAGATTCACCAGAAAAGCCACAAACTTCAAACGGAATCATTAAAAACCATCAAGCTCCAATACCGGTTTTTAAAAAACAAGAGAATGAAAAAGATTGTCAAGGTTTAAAGTCTCTTTTTGAGGGAAGCAGTTTCGATGAAGCAATGCAAAAATACGCTGAAAAGAAAAGCGAATTGCTAAAATTTGTTCCACCAAAGATCATTCCGGCACCAGAACAAGATCCAGCTATTAAAAAACCTATTAAAAAGAAGCCAATCAAAGCTAATGGGATGAAGAATGATGAAAACAATCCCAACAAGCATTTAGGTGGAATTTTTACAATTAATAATGGCTGGGATAAGAAGGAAATTGAGGCACAAGATGAACAAAAAAAGGAAAATCTCAGTAATAAATTAGAAAGACACATAACACCACCAAATATTGTCATCGACACAAACATTGAAGATGTTATGGCTGCACATGATGAATTCATGTACAATGAAAATTTTATGGATAATTTGCTTGTTCCTCAAGATTCTAAAACATCATTAAGTACTACTTCATCCCATAGCTTACAAATAGCATTGAGATGTGATAAATTAACAGAAAATAACAGTTTTAAGGGCCGAAAAATTAATTCATCACTTAATAGCACCGAAGAAGATTCAGATAATGAAGAGATTATTAAGCCATCTAAGAAAATTCAGAGATTTTTATACTCGGATGATGAAAATACATCGGATATGGAAACACAGCCAAAGAATATTAATAGTAAAGGTCATAATGACAATGATGTCGTATCGTTATTTGCAGAAGCTGGGTAAGTTAACGGTATTTTTTAAATCATATTTTGAACTACATTGAACTTGATATTTGAATTTTAAAATTCCGTTAAATTTTGAATGTAATAATTTCGTTAATTTTACAACTTTTGTAGTGAATTTGATGATCTTGTGGATGAAAAGGACCAATTTTATGCTGAAGTTGATCCAGATGATTTAAAAATAAAGGTTCAATGTGTTAAAAGAAGGATTGAACCGCTTGATCATCAAACGGAATTTGAAATAAACACAAACGAAATTTCACAGCACATGGTTGATCCAGAAACGGATAAAATCTTAAAAACAACTTTTGGCAATGTTTGTCCAGCTTTTCTAGAAAGTCGCTGCTCAATGCCAGCATGTCATCGTAATCATTTCCTTCCTGATGAATCAGAAGTTTATCCATTGTTGATCGATGCTAGATTTGATGTTCTTCACAAAGTCTTTCAAGTTGTTTTAAGATTCCATCGGCTATTTCAAACATACATATCGACACTTGTGCAAATATGTATTAAAAATAAAGATGATATGGGACTTGTGGAATTAGTCAAAGCATGCGATCGATTACCCCGTACAATTGTCTGTTATAAAGACATTGTCAGGAATTTAGTTGAACTTGATTACATGAAAAATCACAAAGCGATATCCTTCATTATCACACATCACACCGATTCTGAAATTGCAAGAGACACGATTTTATCTTTAATTCTTGATTCTGGTCCGAATATAACCTTCTTTATGGATTATGTTGAAGAAGCTCACATAAAACAGCCCATCCGAAGTGATATGTTCAGCAGAATCTTACACACATGTGTGTCTTACCAAAATCCAAAGCTACCAAACTTTTGCCTGAACTATTTACAAGCGTGTACAGCAAATCAAATGAAGAATTTAAATTCTGAACATTTAAAAGCATTTCTTCGAATGAACAAATGCATTTCCGAGCTGAATGAACATCGCGAGGCTAAAGCTCTCAGAATAACTCAAAAATTATTGAGCGAAATGAATTGGTAATCAGTTCTTTTTACCTAAAATGATTCATAGAATGATGAAAACTTTTAGATATGTTCCTTTTTATATCCAAAAAGTCTTTAAAAATATAATTACGATTAATTTTTTTATGTTTATAAAATTTCTTATGGTTGAATGGAAAACAATAGAGCTACAGAAAAATAAAAAGTGGTTTATTTAAACAAATAAGAAAGGCATTCACAAATGACGTCTAACATTGCCTATGGTCTTTAACTGGACGTCATCTGTGAGTGATCCTTAAATGCTCTACATCTAATATGCTATTACAGATCATATTTTCTTAAAATTGATAAGCACTAACCCCAGAAAGTAAAGGAACTGGGAATGACCAGCTTGGAAATCTTTTAATAATATCCTTAAATCCATCTGTATAATCTTCTTGGCGATCTGATCGAAGAGTGACGAGATTAACATCTACAATCGGTTGATTGCTTTCTACGTTTGATGTTTTTAATGTAATGTCAAAATAAAGTGGCTTTTTGGGTATTCCAAAGGCAATATGTGCTAAATACGTTTTATTAGCAACTGATTCGACTTCGTCTGAAAAGCTCCATCCAACCATTTCAGTTCCATTTCTTGGATGTACATAAATGCCCATTAATTTAGTGGAATTGACAGTGAACTGATAATTGACGAGATCTGCGCTCAAGACAGTTTTGGAATAAGTATTAAGTACTGCATAATCCATGAGTTTTGGAGGCTTTGATGGAAGCCATTTCATGCTGTAAAATCGTCAAAGTAGAATTAATTTATTCAAAAATCAATTAAGATAGCTAGACCTACCCAAACATAAACATTCGACTAAAAACAATCGGCAATCCACAGAACGGTTCATCATCGCACATTTCCTCAAGAGTTTGAGGCTGAACAGGCATTGTTACTCCCTCAATGGTCTTTAAACAATTTCTATCCCATTCAATGAATAATATTCCACTATCTGCTTTTCTAACATGTCCATTAATATCATAAAATGTTCTTGTTGTGTGCTATGGAAAAGAGAAAATGTTTAAATAACAGTTTGTAAATTTTCAAATTTTTTGAACTTTAAAATAACAAATTGTAAAAATTTGAATTTAAATCGATTTTTTTAATCCTTGGATTTAAATTAAATCACTTGATTAATTTCAATAAAACTCAAAAATAATAGCTTACCACAACATAATGACGTTGTACGACTGGATTTCCAGTTGATTCATCTTGATAAGGAAATCCAATGCTTGTTGAAGTAGCCACGAATATTGAAATAAAGAAAAGTGACATGATCACGGTATATTTCAAGGTTTTTCCTTTCAAAAGATGAGTCAATGGAATCTGTATGGTAAAAAAATGGTTATTTGAAATAATCAAAGCCACAAATGAGCCTTTCCACGCGAAAATGAGACTCGGTATTTTTTTGGTTTTGGCTCAATAAAACCATGAATAATGGTCCAAACTATAATATGTTATATATTTTTGGAAAGCTCTCGAGTTAAGCTTTCAATGTGGGTGAAAAAAAATTAATTATATTATCAAGGGTTGGAAACTTTCAGGTTTGAAACTGTCGATCAACATACATTTTTGCGCGACACGCTGTGCCTTACTCTTTAAAGCAAACAGGATTATTTTAATTGAATTAGATTAAGTAGATAAGGTATTAATGCAAAAAGGAAAGTTTTTCAAATTATTCTGCTTTGTTTTATTTTTATGAGTTATCAAACCTTGGTAATTTTTCTGTTCTTTTTTTATAAAAATGCTTATATCTTGTCCAAACATTCGAATTAATTGATGATTTAAACGCTGTTTATCTTATTTTTTTCATACTTTAAATTTGAGCTCAAAACTACTTCCAAGGGGTGGAAACTTTTGTAAAAAAAAGTTATCAACCCTTGATTTTTTTCTTTTTTTTCTATTTAAACTATTAATTAAAATTGTTATTAAATATTATGAACCTAGAATAACATAGTTTTTATTAAAACTAATAGAAAAACATAAAAACTTAAAAAAAATTAATGCATAAATGATTTTTCATGGTTTTTCTTGGGATCTGTATCAAAATCGTCTTTTTATATCTCAGTATCTCATTGTCATTAATTATTAATGAATCAGAAACGGAATCAGAGTATAAAAAGACGATTTTGATACAGATCCCAAGAAAAACCATGAAAAATCATTTATGCATTAATTTTTTTTAAGTTTTTATGTTTTTCTATTAGTTTTAATAAAAACTATGTTATTCTAGGTTCATAATATTTAATAACAATTTTAATTAATAGTTTAAATAGAAAAAAAAGAAAAAAATCAAGAGTTGATAACTTTTTTTTACAAAAGTTTCCACCCCTTGGAAGTAGTTTTGAGCTCAAATTTAAAGTATGAAAAAAATAAGATAAACAGCGTTTAAATCATCAATTAATTCGAATGTTTGGACAAGATATAAGCATTTTTATAAAAAAAGAACAGAAAAATTACCAAGGTTTGATAACTCATAAAAATAAAACAAAGCAGAATAATTTGAAAAACTTTCCTTTTTGCATTAATACCTTATTTACTTAATCTAATTCAATTAAAATAATCCTGTTTGCTTTAAAGAGTAAGGCACAGCGTGTCGCGCAAAAATGTATGTTGATCGACAGTTTCAAACCTGAAAGTTTCCAACCCTTGATAATATAATTAATTTTTTTTCACCCACATTGAAAGCTTAACTCGAGAGCTTTCCAAAAATATATAACATATTATAGTTTGGACCATTATTCATGGTTTTATTGAGCCAAAACCAAAAAAATACCGAGTCTCATTTTCGCGTGGAAAGGCTCAAATAACAAGCTACTTACGAAATAGCTAACGATAAAAACAGTAGTGACGCACGATATGACAGCAACAATTGCATCAGGATTAGGTTTATTTCCAATACGACCAGTTATTGGAATAAACATCTCAGTAACTGCTGTTTTAAAGTACGAAGCCCATAAAGTAATGAAAATTTGACCAATAAGGAACACATATAGCCATTTATGCACAGAATTTTGAAGTTTCAATAAAAATATTCCGACAGTTGAAAAGAGGTTGATCAGCAAAACAATCATGAATAAGTAAGCAGATCTTATTCCTAAAATTGTTAATCCAAGTGTCAAAATTCCCCATAAAATGTTGACTCCATTAATCCGTGCCTGAACTTTTAATCCTAAACTAACAGGAGAGTGTTTACTGGCAAAAACCATGTCAAATACATCATAAGCAAGAAGAAGGAACCAGACAGTAGCACTTGAATAAATTCCAATAGCCATAAAGTTATTTCTGTACCAACTCATTGAATGACCTGTTTTATCAAGGAAATATGCAGTTACGTAGCATACCAATAAAGATGCAGCGATTCCAACGAACATGGAAATTAATCCAAGAAAGGTTTCCTTCAAAATATGCTTTGAATGGATTGAAACTGTTGATTTTTTGAGTGATAGGTAAGGAACTGTAATTGCTAAAATTGTCACTATGAAATTAATGATGCTTCCAATTTCTTTGGTATAGTTGACTAGGACAATGCCAAGATAGTCAAAGTACACAGCAAGATCCGTTTTGTCAAATTTCTATAATTGAAACAAAAATTACTGATAATAGGAACAATTTTCAATAAAGCTTTGACTTACATCCAAATTATCAAGTTCATCTCCATTAGCTATTGACAGTGCTAATTCCAAAACATTTTCTCCTGTTCTTTGAATATTTCCAATGCTTAAATAATCAATGTGATCGAACTTTGTGTGATATCGATAGCCTTTCACGAAATGTGCAAAATCAAGTCCAACCATATTCCCAAAATCTCGAAATATTCTGTAATCTACAAATCATTTTAATCAAGTTATAGTTATTATAAAATGATTGACTACTTACCAGTGTCTGAAGGAATAACACCAGATTGGAATATTTCCTCAGAAGAAACTTGTGCAAATGGACGACGAACCGAATGATAGTGATTAATAAGCCACGAATTTCCAGGACCACTTTGAAATAATATTTCTTTTCCACCGCTTCCAGCAGCCTCTAAATTAATCAAGACTTTGCAATCTTTAGCCCACTTATGTTTAGTTATAAATCCATGAGCACCTTTCAAGCCCATTTCTTCAGCTCCATTAAACAGAAAAACAATTGTATGGCGATTTTTAACAGTTTTGATTGAAAGAATAGATAGAATCTCTAGCATAATTGCACAGTTAGCGATGTCATCGTTCGCACCAGGCGACCCAAAAACGGAATCAAAGTGACAATTAATTAGTAAAGCATTTGGACTGTCTCCTTCAACTCGAACCACCAAGTTTTGAATATCCTGATAGACTGCAGCCATTCCAGGATCAAAATTTAGATGAAAACTTCCACTGACAATTTGATGATCAAACTGAATACTTTGTGCTGGATCTGAGCGTTTTATAATATTGTCAATTCTCTTCTTTATGTAGTTTACAGCAAGCACTTCATTTTCTTTGGTTCCAGTTACTTTTGGTCCCATATCGTTTAATGCCTTCAAGTCTTTCCAAGCCTCAATTCCAACAAATGGCAAGTTCTTATCTGTTAAATCCGGAGCATTATACATAATTCTTTTTGTTGTACCCAAGATGAACAGCAAACATAATATGCCAATAATAAAGAATAATGAGTGAACTTGATGAACATTCCTCAATTTTTGCTCTAGATATAGTAATTGGATATTAAAACTAAGATTGTGTAAACAAACTCAAACTCTTTTACCTTCATTTGGATTCAGAACGTCTTCAAGTTTCTGCTTCTTTCTTGCATGCTCTACCATTTTTGAATGATCTTAACACATTAATTATTTAAACTAAGACTGACAATGCGTATATCTATCAATTTTTAATAATCGCCGGATGATACAAAGGTTGCTAGTGAAAAAAGTATAAAGGTTCATTTAAAGGCTCTTGTGACTATAGCGCATTTAAGATACCTAAGAATTTATGATTCACAGAGTATTTATTTTTACATATTACATAGATTAAAACCATTATTACGCACCAAAACGAGGTTAAAGTTTTGAGAAACAATTGTGAGACATTTGAAAAACAGACAAAGTGTAAACAACAACAAGAGATGAAAAATGCGTTAAAAACAACGCAAATTCGAATAAAATTTCACCGTTGAAATAAAAACTGAGTTTAAAAATAACGGCTAGCTCGGATAGTAAATTTCTTCAAGGGCTATTTTGTAGAATGAATTATCTAGTTTATTAATTAAAGTTTGTACATTAAAATGGAATATTTTGCAATTTACGCTCCATCAAATGATAATATAGGTAAGAATCTATAAGATAAATGTGAAAATGGTATAAAAATACTTAAAATAAGTGTAGAAATAAGGAAAAACAAAATTTTTGCATAAATGATAAGAAAAATTTTAATATAATTTCATAACTTTTACAGAGCCTAAAGATTTTGTGTTTGTTAAAAGAGAAGAAGCTTTAAAAGCTTTAAATGCCCTAAAGCCTAACAAGGACTCACGTTTTAATAAATTCAAGAACCTTGAGGATGCTTTAAAATTCGCAAAAAGTGGTGCTCAAGCAAATATTTGCAGGCAAGATTCCTCATCGATTCTCGACACAATATCGCTTTTAAAATGTAAGTATACTATTGTTTAATTAAGATAAAATATCTAGCAGTTAACACATGATATCGCGATTCACGAGTCTCAATATCCAAGGATGAAAAATCGTACGATAATAAAAATTGGATGACGTTTGCAATATTCGACAATTTTTCTTCTTTCCAATGCGTATATTTTTAGCATCAGAGCACAGCCGTTGTTATTGTTTTCATTTTCCTTATTCAATTCTTTTTTCGCATGCTTATTTCATCATGTTGCTAAACATGTGTTCTTCTCGCTAACAACAAGTGTTTATTTATTTTACACTGCAGTAATTAACGTATTTATACTAATAGTAACACATTCCATATCTTTTAGCGCCTCCACCCAATCAACCAGTGATTCAGCGATCTCTTGAAAAGAGCAACTTTCCAGCTCCAAAGAGTCAGGATCTTGTCAAGTTCAGGAAGGAAATTGAGCAAAATAATGTACAGAAAGTCTACGAGTTAATTAATTTAAATCCAAGATATCTTGTTAGCTCAGGTGATACGCCAGCGATACTTAAAGAAGGTCCAAGATACAATGCTCTTCATATCGCTGCGATGTATAAGCATGCAAAAATGGCAAAACTTATTTTACAAACTGTTGAACAACCACAATTAATCGAGCTTTTACATGGAATCAAAAATGATCCAAATATTGAAGTCATGTCACAAAATTTATTAGAATCCTACTTGAATACTCCAGACAAGTCACGTAATGAGACTCCATTGCATTTCGCTTCAAAAATCGGTGCTAAAGATGTCATTGAAGTTCTTCTTGCCTATCCAATCTGTAAAATGAAGCCAAATTCCGAAGGTTTATATCCTAAAGACGTAAGTACGCTAGCTGATTAACCATTAAATCTCAGGATTAAAAATATAATCTCTGAATTAAAAAATAATATTTGAATTTGAAAAATCCGTTAAAAATAACTACTTTTAGATTATTTGCGCTCGTTGCTCTGACTCATCACCGGAATTAAAACGATCGATAGAAGAGCTCCTTGCCGAAAGATTTTTTGTACCTGTATTGAGATCAAATGATGACACAGTTCAACCTATAATTGGCCAACCGTTTACACCGTCAAATATACCAAATTTTAACACAGATCCACTTAGTCCAAATTTGGAGATAAAGGCGTACGCAGGACCAATGAGTTCTGATCAAGCACAAACATTCCGGAGACGTTGGAAAACGCCTCCACGATTAATTCCATCTACATCCAATAATCATAACATAACATTTTCACCGCGAAGTTCTTCAATATCATCTCCAATGTATAGTCCACGAATGTCAAAATCAATGAACGAAATGATTTCATCAACGCCAAAACTTAAAAAGAAATTATTTGATGAGAATTTTGATGTCAGCGAATACGAGGAATTTGAAGATGTTTATTTATCAAATATGAGCGAAACAAGTGATAAGAATGGTAATAACAATTTTAATGTATTAAACCAGCATGAAGAAGAGGAATTTAAGGATTTGTTGTTTGAGGATTTGTTAGAAGATAAACTTCTCAGAGAATTGGAAGAAAAAAATATTAACAAATTTCAAGCTTATCGTAATCCAAACGACTACATATCGGATCAGACACCTTTAAAAGGAAAGAATGATTCTAACAGCAATCATCTAAGTCAGAATTTTAATGCCTTTACAAGTGGAGACAGCCTTTTTTGTAATCCACCATCATCGAATATAGGGAGTGCTCAAATCACGTTCCTTGACGAAAGCGGCTCTATTTATAGTCCGGACAATATTCACGATTCAATATCGTTTAAAGAGAAGAATATTCGATTAACTGACACAGCAAAAGGTCTTGAAAAAATTGGTCGTGGTTTAGCACACGAATATAATGTTGGATGGAAGGAATATTGGGAATTTTTAGGACATTTTTTGGACATACGCAGTACAGAAGGTCTTGAATGTTTTGAAGATTATCTTAAAAAGAAGGAAAAGAAGAAGGAACTTAATGAATCGGATGGATTAAAGCAGTCACCAGTCCAACAAAAAATGAATGATTCTTTTGGCTTAAATTCCATTTGTGCTGGCTTATACAGTATGGATATTAATGATGAGCTGACTGAAAAGAAGGAAAAAGCAACTAAAAATGGAATCACATCGCCCACAATCCCACGAAGTCCAATAATGGAAATGCTCACACATATGAGACAATCATCTAATGATCTTCCATTACTTAATCCATATACATGCATTGAGCAGTCTTGTCGAACATTTGCTAAACGACTGGCTGCATTACTCGAAGGTGAAGCAATTCAAGATCAAAATTCATATGAAAAGACCTTACTTGCTGAAATTAATAAACTATACACATCAATCGATAGCTATAAGAGAGATTCACGCTTCAACAGTATCAACTTTCAAAAAGTCCATTCTCGTTACGGTTACCTTCTTGTTTCGTGCTTAAAAAAGAATAATGTTGATGTTAAATATTTAAGAAATTTAGTGCCATTAATGTCTAAGATTTATGCGCTTGCATCGCAATTTACATTGCCAGATACAAAGGATTTGATCAAATGTCATGCAATGTGTATCAGTACATTCACAAGAAACTTTATTGAGCATCAGGAAAAGATTTTTAATCCAGAGAATGTCAATACGGAAACAGCATGTGTTGATGCTTGGAATGGACCTGATATTATCGAATGCAAATGTTCGTTTGATATTAATTTTACAAGCTCGAAGCTTCAAAGGCAGAATCATAGACGTGATATTAGGAAGAGATTATACAGTGGTAAGTGCAGTGCTAGAATTTTAACAGAAAATTAATCTTCAAAATTTCTCAAGTTCAACATTTGAACTTAAGAATTTTTCTTAGCTAAAGTTCGAATTTTAAAAACCAGTTAAATTTTTGTAGGTCCCAAAACGGTAGACATTTGGGCATCAAGAGCAACTGATGATCTAGATGATGACGACAATGATGAGTCGTATTTGTCATGTGATAGCGACATGTCTAGCGATAATGATGATGAGTATTTTACACCACCACAAAGTCCTGTTAAGTTTGATGACAGTGATGACGAGGATGTTAATATGTTTGAGCAATCTTTAGAGCATTTAGAGGATGAGAAAGAGTATACGTTATATATTAATGGGTAAGACGAAATTAAAATTATGCAAATCATTGAATATTAGCTAATAAGTCTTTTTTTTGCAGTGATCAGCCTTCAAAACTCGATATTGATGTGTTCATGGCAATTGGCGAAGATTTTATTATTGATGATGTCAAATATCCTTTCATACACAAATGGTATAATGCCATGATGAGGAACAAAGAGTCGATGAATGTCCATAAGCATCGCAACAATATCTTTCGACTTTTTACACCAAAATTGAAGATTAAAGGTTGAATTTTGAGTGTTTTTAAGTACTTTTATATTTTTAAATTTTCTTTTGTAACAAATCGTACTTTTTATTCATTAATGTAAACTTGAAGTTTTTTTATTATATTGTTTCCTTTTTTAAAAAATACGTTAATTGATTTATGTCAAGACTGAAAAGCATGTTTGATAAAAATAAATAAATAAAGATGAAGAAAAGAAGATAGTTTTGAGAAATATATCAGAGTTTTTGGTCGTTAAAGCTTAGATTAAGGATTCTGGAATACTTTCAAAAGCATTATATGTGTTTAAAGCAATAAAATTTCTGAATTGTGATTCAAATGTTTTCTAAAATCCTGAAACTTTAACAAAGCTTAAATGAATTAAGAACAAGTTTATTTTTATTTTTTCTGACGATTTTTAATTTATTGTTTCTCAAAAAAAGATTTTTCGTTTCATGTTTTTTTTTTTAAAATTCAAAATTTAATGATATTTTGCATTAAATCTTAACAAAAATGAAATACAAAAGAGAAAAAAATTGCTTTTAAACAATAATTAATAAAATAAAAAAAATGAAGGGAGTAAATTGAATTCTTCTATTTCTGCATCATCTATATATAAAAAAATTATCATCAAATAATTATTTGTTTTAAGAATGAATTTATCCTGAAATTGCTAGATTTATGAGCTTATGTAATATGATAAATTTAGAAAATTTCAGCATAAATCCACTCCATATACATTACGTTTATTCTTCACATAGGTATTCAAAAATAATGAAAAAAGAAAAAAAATTGATTAAAATATTACTTGCTGTATAATTAATAATTTTTTTTACTTCCATGTGTTTTCTAATATTTTTTTTTTGTTTAATTTTCTTGGAGCAAAGCTAATGCTGCAAGATTTGTTTTCATCTTTATCATTTTGCTTATCTTACAATTACATCATTATTTACTTGTAATCAATTAATAATATAGAATTTCTAAAACATGTTCTTTTTATTTTTGTTTGTAATTGTTAAATTTACTAACTCATTATATCATATTTTACTTTTAATTCATTTTGTAGTTTATCTTGTTACTATTTACAAAAAAAGTTTCATATTTCCTTCATATTTTTACTTTTATATTCTCATTAAATTTAATTATTTGTTTTTTGTCCCAAGAAAATGTTTTTCATTAATAGTTTTTTTAGTATGACTTCCACTTCCTTTTTTAAGAACTTCTCTAAGCTGATCGATTCGTTTTGCAGTTAAATGATATTTGATCTGGAAGTTGGGATTACAGAATAATTGAGAAAATGCGACATTGAAGTGATGGGAAGCTTTAAGCTGTCAAGTTTTCATGCTCCAGAAGCTTCCCAGAATAGATCATTAACGCGGATACGCTTGGAACTTGCTCATTCAAGAAAATAAATTTCCAGAGTCGCAGATTTCTCACAAAATTATTCCTTCCCATACTTCCAATTTATACCCAAAATCCAAAATTTATCACTTTTTCATCTCCTCCAAAACAGAAATAAATAATCATATTTTCTAGTAAGGTTTCTGTGTCTCTACTTTAATGCTTTAACAGCACTTAATTTTGGTCTGTGTTATTTCTTCTTAATTATTCGACCTTTTCAATGTTGTTGTCCACAAAATTGCACAGTGTACACCACTTTTCCCGAGTGGACAAAGTACTAGTTAAAAGCTTGCCATTGACTTGCCTTTTCACGGCGAGTAAGTATCCATTGACGTGTCTTTGCAACTAGACTTAGGGACGACTAATGACATATTTTGCGCTTTCCATTTAACTTGACATAGGAATTGCAAATATGTCTAGTTAATGTCCAGTTACAAAAAAATCGAAATAAAATAAATAACACGTGTCTTTTTCTCCATTTTTTCTTTTGTAAAATTTTATTATTGTATTAGTGTAATTAATTAATTAAAGTACACCAACACTTATGAAAAATCTCTAGTAAGCATTAAGTCTCGAACACTTGCGCGTGAAACAATTATATATACTTAAAAGTTTCATACAAATTTTGGTGGACCTTATATAAGTGATTTCTGTAAGCGCTTGTGAAGTATATGGTCAAAAAAGTAAGGAAAATTATTTTTGAGTTTCGAACACTTGATTGATTAGCATGAATGTCCAGTTAAAGTCTAGTTAACGTATAGTTCTCTATATCGTATATATTTCGACAAGTTAAAAGACTGTTAAATGGTTGTCCAATAATGGACTTTAACTAGCTGTGTCCACCCGGGTTTGTAGCTTAATGTTAGGACCTATGTAGCTAATTACAAAGTTTTGTCACTACAGTGTACAGCACACGGTTAGGGGTACTATTGAACCATGAATTTACAAAAAACTCGTCTGGATCTAATTCTAAAGGCTTATCTAAAAACCAGACTGTGTCTGAATATCAAACAGACATTTGAAATCGACCCTTAGATGTGAAGAACATTCCAATCGAGTTCAATAACTTTCAAACTTCTTCTTCTAGCTTCAAACCTTAAATTTTGTTCCTTTGTTTAAAATCCCTTCTAGCCAAACTTTCTTCAACAATCATTTCTTTTTTATGACGGACGAAAAGTTTTGGGAAAATTTATTTAATCCAATATTTCCTTTTGAGTGCACAGCAGAGCGGTTTTAATGATTATCGCAAATCTTCATTGGAAAACTTATTTTCGGATAATGGAAAATTAAGAGAATTGAAAAGTTGAGGTTGTTATTGTAGGATATAGCAGTATGCTTGAATGACTATCGTCATATTGCTAAATTGAATCCAATAGTATAGATTATAAGTGGAAACTTGAATTTTGGCTATTCTAGATGTTGATTTTTCAGTTATTACTGATGTCAGAATAATCAAACAATCCAATTTAGAAGTGTGGATCTGATCAAAATGGCCAAAAAACGATTAATACTCAGTTGATCAGTTCCGTACTCTCGATCAAATGAGGAATCTTGACTAGCCTTGATTGAAGTCAAGTTTGTTTTGTTAAGATTCACAAAAAGCCTTCTTTCAAGGTATTCAATATTAACCTACTAGTTCGGAACTGAACAATCACGTTTTGATCATATTAATCAGTTCCGGAGCATTGCATTAAATTTGATTACAATTAATTTAAGAAGTCAAATTCAAGATCCAACAAAAAATTCTCTGAATATGACAAACTGACTTTGAAAGATTACAATCTAAAGTACAAAGAGCTAGTTATCTGCTTGATATCAAGTTTATACCTAAATTCATGTTGATTTGGGAACTTTGAACTCTATGCAAACTCAAAAAGAAAAATTAGATTTCCACGCTTTTCCGATGATTCATTGAAATTTTCTTCTTATTAATTTTTGTGTCATTAGTATTTTTTCACGTTTAAATATTGTTTTTTTGTTATTTTAATATAATTATTTATAATCCTTTATATCATCATCATATCATAATTTGTATGTTTATCAACGAACGACTATATTATCATCTGCCATGGTTGAGTATGTATGTATGATGAGAACTTTATTAATTATAACTTTTTCTTTGTGTGTATTTGTGAGAATATTCGCGTGTAAATACAAACTTTTTTGTTCTTATTTAAAAACTTATTTTATGGAGAAAAGGATACGAAAAGTTACGCGGATGTGACAACAATACTTTTTATCGTTATTTATTTATTTTTTTATTTTATATTTGTTCGATCATCAAAATCATCAAAAATTGACGCACATTTTTAAAAACTTTTTATCATATTATTTCATGTTTCTATACTTTATGTTACAATTGTTATTCATATTTTTTGTTGTTTTGGGAAACGTTTTTCTACAAAATTTCCGAATTTACTGCTGCATCGGAAGTTAAACATTATCATATTATTTTTTATACATTTAAGGAAATTTCAGCCATTGTTATTTAATACGATTCCCATGTCATGTAAAGTTGCCAATTTTCGGTTTACTGGAAGTTTAGCAATTTAAAATTTATAACGCTTTTTGAAATTTAAACGGTTTATTTATAATTGAAAAAATGTCAGTTATCCTTTAACATTGATGTGTCAGTTTTTTCGTTGGAACTTAGTTTAATTATAGTAAAACCAGCAACTTTACATCATCCAGGGTCTGTTGATTACGAACGAATTTCTTTTGCAGAATATTTTCATTGAAAATTACGCAAAAAATTGGGAAAACAAATACAATCTCATGATCTTTTATTATATTTTACATTCATTGAATAATCTACGGCATCCTACTACATACACGGCATGTTAAAAAAATGAGTAATGTAGAAAATTATAAGGAAGAAAGTTTCCTAAAAATTCATGAAAAAAGTTTCAGGTTATTGTGAGTAATTTACGGCTATAAAATTGTATGCAATTAATTTTTTCTTTTTATTCATTCCGATAAAATGCTTTTTTATTTATATAAAATTTTGCTTTACAGTTTGATAATCCAAGAGAGTGGATATAATTTTGTTTTTGTTTTTTTTTTGATGAAAAATAAGTTTTCTTTTGATGAATTTTGAATAAAAAGTTTTTTTAAACTCATGAAAGTGCTTGAGATAAGTCGACCTACAAAGCTTTTAGTGGGTTTTCTCAATTTTGAACTTAAAAACATTAGAAAAGTTCAAAATTTGATCCTCACTCTTATGACGAAGCTCAAAAAGTTGTTAAAAACTTTTTAGACCAAAATCAATTTAAAGTTTATCAAAGTTCAAATTTTGAACCCGAGTTCAAAAAGTTTAAATATTATAAAGTCGTTAAAACTCCTTTAATGACCAAACTTTATTTCAAGCATTTTCTGTCTTCTGCTTCCTCTTTTGACACAATTTCATTTCCTTATCCGTAATGAAATAGGAAAAAGTCATTACTTTTTTTCTCTCACACATAAGTGACATCAATATGATGATGCAAAAAAGAAGAAGAAAAGTGTCAATGACAGCATTATGAAAAGAGGGTTGATAGAAAAGGACAATGATCTGTCGTTTCCTTTACTTTGAAGTAATATTTTTATTATTTACCTAATTAATTTCTTTCGCTTTGATAAAGAAAATAATAGTTAAATGAAAAAGATCGCAATAAGTTCTTTACGTTTCATGTTTTACGTTTAATTTCGGGGCGAAAAGGTATGAAAATTCGATGAAAATTGATTGCTTTATTTGTTCGCTCTTATAAAATTCCACTTCCGATGAAAGCATCTGCTTCCAACAACTCAATACAGATCAATTATGTTGCATCACTAAAGGTCATAAATTTCAAATCGGAACTGAGTGGCAGAAAACAGAAAAAAATCGATTGCAATTCACGAAAAATCCTTGCAATTGCTTTAATGTCATGACCAAAATATATCGAGTTGTATGAAAACATGACAATGGAAGTTTTTGATGCATTAAATGTTCGGAACTGCCAGAACTGATTCTTGAGACTTAAAAATGTTTTGAGTGTATCGGTTGGATAAAACAATTTAAATCTTACGATTTAGACTACAGCCTATTCCACATGAATTGCATGTCTCGAAATTCTAGGAAGAACGAGAATAAAGCATAAAATTTTTGTATCAAATCATCAATGCTGACATAAGATCATTTGTATTCATACAAGTTGCTTAATTATTCAATAGAATCATCTACAATTCTCTATTCTGTATGTGTGTTATTTGCAAAAAAATGGACTTGAGTTGTTATCAGCTTAAAAACAAATTCTCATCATGCTGTTCTTATTCTCTATATATCATTTATGTATATGGGTGGTTGTTTGATATTAATAACCCGAGCAACACAAAATCCACTTCGTCAACTTTATGTCACCCAGTTCCTCAGAATTTCATAATTTTCCATTTCAAAATATGAAAAATATATATTTTTATTTTATATCATCAATTATTCTCTTTAATATTACTTCTAATTAATTAATTTTTATTTTATTGTTGTTTTTTGTTTATTTTTTTTTTCATCTTTTGTTGAATTTTCTTTCTTTTTCCATTTAATTAACTTCATATTTTTTTCCCATTTTTAATATTTCATCGTTTTCATAATTTCTTAATAATTTTCTTCATCAAATTGAATTAGTTTCTAAGTGATTTACAGCATCAAAAAAAATTTTTGAAATAAAAAAATTAGGCGTATAATATGTATCTCTATATGTATCATAATAAAAAAGAATTGATGAAAGTGAAATGTAATATGGAACCAAATGTTACGCAAAAAAAGTTCTTGAAATTTTTTAAAAATCAAGTCGATGATCAATTTTGAAAAGGACCTTCCCAATATTCATATTATATTTTTAATATTTTTTTATTTTTTCGTGTATGTATGCATTTTTGTTGTGTGTGTGTGTATGTATGTGAGTGTCCTTTTCACAAAAAAATTCATTCATTTTTTTAATTCTCTTATTTTAGTTCCGTTTCACTTGGTTGTTTCTCTTTATTGCGTCTATCGCTGTCGTCATTTCCTGTTGTTGCTCCTGGATGTCCTGTAATTGCTCCCATTCCACCTGGCTGCTGCAATGAACGCTGTTTAAGCATTGTCCAATCAAACGTGTAATCGTATTGATGATTAAGTGTTCTGAATAAAATTCTACAAATAAAGGAGATAATAAATTTTATTAATTAACGGTTCAACTTTAAAAAGATTAAAAAATTTGACGGATTTTTGCAATTCAAATTTTCAACCAAGTTTCTTCCAAAAAATAAATTTAAATTGAAAAGTTCGTTATAACTATAAAAAAAACAAATCTCTCTTATTAAAAGATTAGATTCATCCACACATCCCTATCCTTTGCTAAATATATCCCATAAATTTTTAATTGAGATGAGATTTTTCCAGTACACAGCCACATAGAAGGTCGAAAACAAATCGAAAAAGGTCACAACAAGGCAACGCTCTAATGCAATCTTCTTCTATATCCAACAACAACAAATAAGTAAGAGAGCACATATACACATCAAGTAGACGGACACACCCAACAAAAATAATTAAAAGCACAATAATGCTCAGAGTGCAATCATCAATGTTAATCGATGACATTAATCAGAGATTTAGAAAAACAATATCAATGACAACTTTAAAGCGAATCCTCATTAAATGTCTTTTTGTGCCATTAGCAATAAGATGGATATTAATTTTTTTTTTTATTGCCAATTTAAGGAAATTGAAATTTTTTTCATATTGTTGAGAAAATCAGTTCCAGTTACGGATAAAGGTCAGCTAAATTTATTAAAACAAACAATTAGACTTTCCAAAAGAATTGTAGGAATTCCCATGAATAATGAGACATTTGAGATAATTGATTAGACCTTTCTGGCATTCGAAGAAGAGGAACTGGAAATTATTCAATGAACTTTTGGTTTCAAGCTTGGGAATTTCCTTATTTCTATTGATTAGATGAGTTTTATTAGGATCCAAATAAATTCTAAGAAAAAACTGAATGTTCTACATTTACTGATGATAATGAAGAATATTCATGCATGTTGGGGATTTTTATGCGATTCATTGGAATTAAACTGATGATGAATGATTAAAATGGCGCATTTTTGTTCCTTTAATAGATTAGATATGAAAATTGCAATTTGAAATGATTGAAATTTGAGATCTGTGGTAGGTTTCAAGCTTACAGACGACATCGAACCCTTGAATCGAAAATCGAGGATCAGAAATAAATATAAAATGAAACTGTAACCAGAGAAGGAATCCTGGATAAACTAAGAAACAGAATTCAGTATTAATATATCTAGTTCTCAAACTATGGACCAGAGTCCTCTTTGATACAGCAAAAACGCAATTTTCTTAAGGTGTTTTAAGTGCCATTCATAAACGACTTCCAACATTACGGAGAAAAAGAGATCTGGAGTGTTGTTGGTTTAAAGCAGAGGTCGAAGCGAGCATAGCGAAGCGAGTTTTTAGCGAGCTCGCTTCGCTAAAAATTCAACTTGCTAAAGTTGACCTGTAGCGAGAATTTTTTTTTCTTTTCGCCTTAGCGAACTATAGCGAACTCAATTTTATTTTTTTCGCTTTAGCGAACTATTAGCGAACTTAATTTTTCAAAGTTCGCTATAGCGAACTATTGGCGAACTAGAAAAATTTTTTTGGCTTCATATTAAGAGATGTCTGATTGCGTTTGTGAAGTATGTAATTTCATACAAAATTGCAAAAAATTATAGTTCGCCAATAGTTCGCTATAGCGAACTTTGAAAAATTAAGTTCGCTAATAGTTCGCTAAAGCGAAAAATAAAATTGAGTTCGCTATGGTTCGCCAAGGCGAATAGAAAAAAATTTTTCTCGCTACAGTTCGACTTTGGCAAGTTGAATTTTTAGCGAAGCGAACTTGGCGAACCAAGTTCGCTTCGACCTCTGGTTTAAAGTCGTAATTTCTGAATGATCCCTAAAATCAAATTCCTTAACAAACTCGATTAGTTTTAAATGAAGGAATTAGCAAATTAATAATACGATTAAGCACTTTATGCATAATTCAAAGGAATTAAAATTTTTTGCTGTCTAAGCTGTTCATAACGTGATAAATAATAAGTCACGTAATGAAGAAATTAAATACTTTGTGTACCTGCTGTAACCATATTGTGTGTTATTTATATTTTAAATACACTACTTTAATGTAAAGTTGTTACATAAATCGTGTGTAATGTACGGTTTCGGGATTATTATTAGAATATAAGAACGTAGATTTGAGGAAAATTTTTCAGCATAACAAAGCCATGCTGCGTTGAGAAGAAAATTTTGACAGGAACATTTTAAAAATATTTAATAAGGTACAATTTATTTGTCATAATTCACAGCATGTTAATATTATTTTTTTTAATCAGCATGAATTTTTTAAGTTTTCGTAGGATTATTTACGTTTTAAAATTAGATACTTATACTCAATATTCAGACATTTTTAATAACTTTTTAGCGCATTTTTGAAACTTGTTTTCAAAAAGGTAGCTTAATAACGCACTTTGGTCGGCTGGCTGGCTGGCTGGTCGGCTGCTAAGAAAAACTTTTAATCTAGACATCGTAGAGAGTTCTAGTTTTTTGCATTAGTTCCGTTATATCGAGTTATTGGCCCGCCGGACATTTAAAAATCTTAAAACAGTGTATTTATGCTATAATTAATGAATTTTTGTTTTGTTTTCAGTGTAACCTGCTCAAATTTTATTTTACCTCTATAATTTCAATATTACCTCTATAATTTCAAAAAATTTCTAGCCGTTGTAAAATTTGAATTTCAAAAAACCGTTAAATGATAAACTTTTTTTGTATGGAAATTCATTGGAACAAATTATTTAATTATACTATAATTAATTTTTTCGTAGTGCAACTTATAGCGGGAAAATTTCAAACTATTTATTGACCGTTAGAAAATTTGAATTACAAAAAAATGTTAAATGATAAACCCTTTCTGTATGAAAATTCATTGCAACAAATTATTTAATTATACTATAATTAATTTTTTCGTAGTGCAACTTATAGCGGGAAAATTTCAAATTATTATTATATTGACCGTTAGAAAATTTGAATTACAAGAAACCGTTAAATGATAAACTCTTTCTGTATGGAAATTCATTGCAACAAATTATCTAATTATACTATAATTAATGTTTTTTTAGTGCAACTTTTAACGGCAAAATTTCAAATTATTTATTGACCGTTAAATTTTTCTAGCCGTTGTAAAATTTGAATTTCAAAAAACCGTTAAATGATAAACTTTTTTTGTATGGAAATTCATTGGAACAAATTATTTAATTATACTATAATTAATTTTTTCGTAGTGCAACTTATAGCGGGAAAATTTCAAACTATTTATTGACCGTTAGAAAATTTGAATTACAAAAAAATGTTAAATGATAAACCCTTTCTGTATGAAAATTCATTGCAACAAATTATTTAATTATACTATAATTAATTTTTTCGTAGTGCAACTTATAGCGGGAAAATTTCAAATTATTATTATATTGACCGTTAGAAAATTTGAATTACAAGAAACCGTTAAATGATAAACTCTTTCTGTATGGAAATTCATTGGAACAAATTATTTAATTATACTATAATTAATTTTTTCGTAGTGCAACTTATAGCGGGAAAATTTCAAACTATTTATTGACCGTTAGAAAATTTGAATTACAAAAAAATGTTAAATGATAAACCCTTTCTGTATGAAAATTCATTGCAACAAATTATTTAATTATACTATAATTAATTTTTTCGTAGTGCAACTTATAGCGGGAAAATTTCAAATTATTATTATATTGACCGTTAGAAAATTTGAATTACAAGAAACCGTTAAATGATAAACTCTTTCTGTATGGAAATTCATTGCAACAAATTATCTAATTATACTATAATTAATGTTTTTTTAGTGCAACTTTTAACGGCAAAATTTCAAATTATTTATTGACCGTTAAATAATAATCCTTTCTATATAAGCATTCATTGTAACTTTTTGTTAATTACACTAAAATTAATGATCTTCTAATCTTCTCATGATCTGTAAATGAACGCAAAATAATTACATAATCAAATACTGATCGCTAACACAAAAATGCGCTTAAGTCCCTCGATCAATAACACGAGGACTTTTGTAATTTTTTTTGTTACTTCCCAGACGTAGAATTTTTGTTTTTCGATAATTGAGTATCAGCATGGCAACCTTGCTGTTCTCGTGCATGTATTCTTCGTTTGTGTAAGAAGCCTATGTATATGTAAGAGTCAGTAAAGAAGAAATTTCATCGCATCATTTTTAAACATAATGTTTTGGGGTTGATTAAAAATGATGTCGATTGAAGAGTTCTGACTATCAAAGAACCATTCATTTCTAATGATTAAAACCAACCTTATATGTGAATAGCTTCCACCCCTTCAAGTCTAAATGCTCAATTATCATTGTCAACAAAATTTCCGTTCCTTTAATTCGATCATAAAAAGTATTTTTTGGGGTTTCCATTATTTCCCTTTTCATACACACACACATACACATTAGAAGTAAGCACAAAGTAAGTATAACCCAAAAGAAAATGAAAGGAAAAATTGGGAACAATAAAAACTGAAGCCTAACATCGATTTTCACATTCCTTTCTCTTTTTCTTGTGTCACTTTCAGTGATTTTTCTCGTTTCTGAATGATTTTAATATCATTGATAATGAAAATAGGGTCAAAGGTAGATTTATTGGAAATGTCTTCAAAAAGAAACAGAAGTTATTTTTACATTCTGACCTTTGAAAACTGCTGCACACCTACATGTTAATTTCATTTTTCATTTCTTATCTTCGTACAAGTCATAAACAATTTACTTTATCTATTTTTTGTTCTCCATGTGCAACCTTCGCAGTTTTGAATAAAGATCGAGAAATAATAATGTCAATGACGCCACGTGTGTATAAGAGTTCTCCCTCATCAAAATGTAGAAACATTGATGACGATGATGCCAAAAATGAAGAAGAAAAGAAAAGCCGAAGAAAATCTTTATTCTTCACCTTTTTCTCATTTTACAAAAGGAACTGCGAGAAGAGATGGTAGAGTAATATGTTTTTAAAAGCAGAACTGCGCAAACGTTGGTTCTTTGCTGCTTATTCTTTATTTATATA